CTGAGACCCTGGGATGCTCCAGGTGTCAGTAGCGGGTCCGCAGGACAGAGCAAGGAACTAAAAAAGGAGGTTGAGCTCCTGTGAGTGGGGGCTGCCCCAGAAAAAGGGGGTGCTCACGGGACCATGAAAGAACCGGGATTCTCCAAGAGGCTCAGCTGCTGTGATGTCCTTGTAGGCATTTCATGTACAGGCAAAAAAGAGGCACACACGTGCACCCAGGAACACATGTTACACACAGACACACATGTGCATGTAGGAACACGTGTGCCTGCAGACATATACGTGTGAGCAGTTAACCAATGCCCTGACCCTGGCCACACATACAGGCCCCCACAAGCACATAGAGACCTACCATCACGTGATGTACTGACACATGGACGTGGCTACATGCACAGGCCCATACGGTGTCACTACACCCCTCCACGAGGTCCTCCTCATAGACATGGGCCACACGCCTGCACTTCTGCACAGGCGCACAGAGACACACACTGTCCTGGCTGCGTTCACACACATGGTCACGTGGCCCCTGCATCTGTCCATGCTAAGCTGTCCACGCATGTGACTGGCACCATGAGCAGTCGTTCCCATGCACATGACCACCGGGCACCACCCATGTCCAGGAATGGTTGCACTCATGTGTTCCACGCTAATACACACACACACACACACACACAAGTCCACAGATAGCTGTTCTCACACACATGTGTCCAGGCATGCACCCGGGTGCACACACATATAACGTGCTCACAGACATGCACGCATGTGCACACGTGGCTGACATTCTGTGCTCGTCTGCATCTGGCCACGTGAACGCATGCATGTGGTTACACTTATCCATGTGCGACTGTGCTGACCTGCAGGGCCCTGTTCACACGCACAAGGTCCTACTGAGGCACCAATGTACAAGCGCAGGACTGCATGCATAGCTCCCATACATGTCCTCTCAAACGTGTGGTCAGGTTTACATGCTCACCCATGCACTCAGGTACACCTGGCACGTGAAGGTCTGCAAACGCACATGCAAATACACACAGGCGCCCAGAGAGGAGAGGAGCGGCTGATGGGGAAGCCGGAAGAAGGCGCCGGTTGCCCTGGCAACATACCCAGGGACCGACCATTGCCGGCAGCTCATCTGGATGCGGGCGGGCAGGCGGGCGGGCGGGCGGGCGGGTGCGGGGTTGCTCCGGACCTCCAGCCCACAAAGGCTCCAGAGACTGTCACGTCCAACGTCTGGGCCCGGGCCGGGAGGAGAAGAAGGAGCTAGGTCTGGAGTCTGGGAGGAGACCTGGGTTCTGGGCTTGGGGGCCAGGGGAAAGACACCCCTGCCCTGGAGAAGGATTCTCACAACCTGCCTTGAGAGCCCCAGAGAAACCCTGTTCCGGACACCAGGGAGAGCACAGCAGAGGGGAGGACTCTGCCCTGCACACAGCCGGCCTGGGTTCTATCCTCGCTCCCCTCGGGTCCCCCTCCCCCGCACCCCCTCCCCCGCCCCAGCACTGCCAGGAGTAATCCCTGAGCACAAGAGTCAGTCCTAAGCACTGCCGAATGTGGGCTCAAAACAAAACAAAAAGAAGAAACAGAAGTCTTTTTTTTTTTTTTTGCTTTTTGGGTCACACCTGGCGATGCACAGGGGTTACTCCTAGCTCTGCACTCCGGAATTACGCCCGGCGGCGCTCAGGGGACCATATGGGATGCTGGGAATCGAACCCGGGTCGGCCGCATGCAAGGCAAACGCCCTACCCGCTGTGCTATGTCTCCAGCCCAGAAACAGAAGTCTTGATCTGGCATGGGGTCCCAGGGCTCCTGGCTCGGAAGCAGCAACATCTGTGTGTATGTGTGGGTGTGTTTTGTGTGTATGTGAGTGCGCATTTGTGTGTGCACTCGCATGTATGTGTGGGTGAGGAGAGCCCCAGTCTTGGCCATCTCCTGCCCTGAGGTCTCAGCCCCTGGCACCCAGGCCTGGAAGTGGGCAGGGCACAGCATGGATCCGGGGTGGGGGAGGGGGGACAATTAACAGGTGGATCCCCTGGGGCATAGCAGCTGCTCGTTGGCGCTGGCGGGGTCAGGGTTCAGTCCATCTGCCCGGTTCCTGATGCTCCCCCAGGCTGGGCTTGGGACAGGGCTGTGTCCTCTGACACAAGACTCAGAACCTGCTGGCATCGGAAATGGGACTTTGGGGGCACTGGCAGGTCCCACCGCCTGCCACCACAGTGCCTGTTTGTGGCTGGAAAAGGGTCCCCAAGTGTATGGGTGTGGGGGGTGCAGACAGTGGGGCGCTGGGAGGGCTGTGCTCAGACTCCTGTCTTGGCCTCTGATGCTCTCGCCGAGCCTCAGTTTCCCCACGTGCCACACAAATTCCCACACTCCCAGAGGTTAGAGGATTCCTCCGCACTCCACTCCAGTCCCCACCCCCCCCAGGAGGGCCGTGTCCCTAGACTCTGCCTCCCCTGCCTCCAGGTGAGGGGGTCTCCGACTCCCCACTGTGGGAGAACAGTGGCCAGAGAGCTTCCTAAGGCAAAAGAAGGAGTAGGCAGGGAAGCGATGGTACACCCACTTTTCAACCCCGGGACCCTAACAACCCTACAAGTACCAATATGGGTTCTTACGCATGCCTCCCCCACACAGATATAAGGCACCTTCCCCATCAGAGACAGCCAGGAGGGCTTCCTGGAGGCGGTGCTGTCTCATGACCCCCAAAGTGAAAAGGTTGTGTTAAGTTTTGTGACAAGGGCTCAGATTTCTGGCTGGTTCCTGTTGGGATCATAATGCTGGGGCAGGTAGAATAGAAAATTAGGTCCTGTGTGTGTGTTTGGGTGGGGGTTGGGGGGTGGAAATCTCAGTGTTAGAGGGAGGTCCTTTGGGTGACCAAGGAGTTTGAGTCTCATACCTGCCCTTAGGCACTACTGAGCCCCTCATGGGGTGCACCCACCTGCGGGAGTCCTTCCCTACCTCTACACCCCCCTACCTCTCCACCCGGAGCAGGAGAGGGGAGGAGGAAGGAGAGAGAGAGAGAGAGAGAGAGAGAGAGAGAGAGAGAGAGAGTAGGGAGGGCGGGAGGGAGGGAGGGAGAGGCAGAGAGAGTCTCCGGGGTTCCCACCTTCCTCCCTGGAATTCCAGGCGAGATTCCTCTCTTGTTATGAAACAACAGAGCAGGCAAACCGCCCCCGTCTGTGGAAGCACCTTTATTGCACTAAAAACAGCGGTTATAAACAAATACAGTCGGGGGTGCAGGGAGAGTCTTAAGGGTTTACCCACAGTCAACTCCAAACACAGATACCAAACAGAGCAGGGTTCTAAAGTGTGAGGGACCTCTGGCTGGGGGGGAAGCTGGGGTGGCAGATAAGGGGAGGGATGGGCAAACCACCCTAAACATTGACCCCCAAGCCTCCCCCTTTCCCCACCCCACCCCCAGCCCTGGGGAAGGGGGGGAGGGTTCCCAGGATGCAGCGGGAAGAGGAACCATCCCCAGATGAGAGGAGCACGAGGAACAGGTCCAGGATGGACGCAGGAGGGGGCGGGTTCCCAGCATCGCCCTCCGTGTGGTTATCTCGCGGGACCTCACAGGCCCAAGGGGGACTCATGCTTTCCCCGAGTCTTGGGGGTAATCTCCGTCACCCATCGCCACCACTGTGGGGCTGTGAGTTCAGATTGGGAGGGACAGAGTCTGGGGAGGGAACAGCCCGCAGGGTCTCCTGGGTCCCCGGGACCCAGCAGGCAGCTGCGGAAGACAGGCCTAGCCTGGCTGGCAGCGGTTGGCCCCTGGTCCAGACATTTCATCGGAAAAAAACACCAGAGACCAATCCAAGGACCCAAGACCGTTGAGACACCCTCCTCCACTCCAAGTCTACATACAGGCCCTGGGGGGGTCCCTCTGCAGCCCTGGGAAAGGAGCAGGAACTGATGGCCACCAAGGAGGTTGCAGGAAGGCCCCACCCCAAAAAAGTAAGCAGAGAAGGCCCTGAGGAAGAGGCCTGGAGAGAGATCATGGTGGAGGGTGGGGGAGATGCCCAGCTCCCGGTGCTCAGGGGACCGACCCTTCAGGCTGTTCCCTCCCCAGAAGCAAGCAAAGCTCCAGCCCTTGAAGTGCATCCTCTGGCCCTGTCTTGCTTCTGGCCTAACAGGGCACTGTGGGAGATCTGTGGTTCTCAGACATGAGTGCCTTGTCCCACCCTCGGTGGTTGGGTGGGGGGGCGTACCCAGGGTGCAGAGAGAGGGGCTTCCAGCGGGGTCTGCTGGGGAACGTTTCTGGAACAGATGAAGAGAGATTCCGAGGGGCCTGGAGTCCTTGGTCTGTATACCTCTGATCTATCTCCTAGATTGGGATACCCAGCCACTTCTAGGTGGAAGGGATGATGAGGGGCATGGAACTTTCTGGGAACAAAGGTGAAACACAGTCTCTCATCCAGTGAGCAGCGACCAGCCCCTCTCCTCCTCCTGGGAGGAAGAGAGGTCAGCAGTCAATCAGGGAAGCCGGCTCAGCCTGAGTTTTTGCAGACTCCAAGGTTCTAGGCCTGGCTTCCGAGACTCTAGGCTCCGCCTCGTGGATCTATTCTTTTTTATTTATTTTGCTTTCTGCGGTCACACCCTGGGATGCTCAGGGGTTACTCCTGGCTCTGCACTCATACTGCTGGCGGGGCGCGGGGGACCCTAAGGGATGCTGGGAATCGAACCCGGGTCCGCCGCGTGCAAGGCAAAGGCCCCTACCCGCTGTGCTATCACTCCGGCCCCTCACGGCTCGCTTCTTCACCACCACCCCTAAGTCTACAGGCCCCACCGCAGGCCTCTGGGCCCCGCCCACACGCCGCCAGAACCGCCCCACGCCCCACCCCCAGACCTCCAGGCCACGCCCCAAAAGGACGGGCCCCGCCCCATGCCCCACCTCCAGGCCACGCCCCGAAACACCGGGCCCCGCCCCCAGGCCGCTTCCTTCCTTCCTTCCTTTCCCGCTTCTAGGCCCCAGGACCCTGCACCTAGGCGGACGGGGGCGGGTGTGCAGGGGGGCGTTCTACAAGAAGGGGAGCAGGGAGGTGAGGGGCAGCTCCTTCTCCCCCAGCAGCGTGTCCCGCTTGAGGCTGCTGCCCTTGTTCACCACCTTGATGCGCAGCGCCAGCTTGCGCACGCAGGCCGGCCCCAAGCCGTCGAAGAAGAAATCCTCGTTGAAGACCGGGTGGCGGCTGTTCTTGATGATGGTGCTGCGCTGCTTCTGCAGCTTGCCGGGCACCAGGCACAGCCCCACGCAGCAGTTGATGGTGCGGGCGTCGCACAGCCGGTCGTACAGGCCCTCGGCGGCCAGCAGGCGCACGCGCAGGCGGGCCTGGGCCGCCTCGTACTCGGCCAGCAGCCGCACGCTGCCGCGCTGGCCCAGGCGCACGGCGTGCTCGGCCCGGGGCGCGGGGCCCGCGTCGGGGCCGGACTCCGGGCTGGGCCGGCGGGCCAGGCGGCTGCGGCGGCGGCGCGTGCCGGGGCTGGTGTCGGGCGTGCTGTCGTCGGCCGAGACCGAGCCGTGGCGGCCCACCGACTGCTTGAGCTGGTGGACCTTGGCCTGGCCGTCCTGGGCGAAGCCCTTGAGCAGGGACACGGAGCGCGAGAGCAGCGGGGAGCCGAACGGGGAGGACTCGGCCGACGAGCCCGTGTCGCTCTCGCCGCCGCTGAAGCAGCGGCCGGGGCTCATGAGGGCTCCCCCGCCGCCCTCGCGGGGGGACGCGTCCCCGCCGTCGGGTCTGGCGGCCCCGCGGCGGCGCGCGGCGCCCGGGGAGCCCACCTGGGCCAGCGCGCCGTGCTCGCTGTGGAACAGGGACTCCTTGCGCCGCGTGTGCGGGCTCTCGGCCAGCGTGGCGAAGCCGTAGGACGTGTGCGCCTTGGGCACGGCGGGCAGGGACGCGTCGGCGGCGTCGGGGCGCTCGTCGGCCGCGCAGTCCTCGGCGCTCTCGATCTGGATCACGTGGCGCGTGGCCGCGCGCAGCAGGTTCTTGCTCTCGGCCGCCAGCTTGGCCGGCAGCCGCGGGCTGCGCGGGGCCCGGCGGGGCGAGGCGGGCGCGGCGGCCGCGGGGGGCTGCTCCGGGGGCGGGCCCAGCTCGGCCGGCGCCGGACCCTCGCCCTCGGGCGGCGCCACGGGCAGCTTCGGGGGGATGAAGAAGTCGGGGATCTTGTCCGGGGTGAGCACGTTGCTGTACAGGGGGCCCTTGGCCTTGTCGTCGCCCCCCGCGGCCCCGTTCTCGCCCGACACCCGCAGCCGCTCCAAGAACCACATGTTGGTCTTCTTCATGGGGGCGGCGTCTGGGGAGGGGGGCAGGAGAGGAGAGCAGGGGTGAGGCGCTGCAGGGGGCGCGGGGCCCAGCCCCCGTCCCACCCCCACCCGGGCCAGCAGGGGGGCCACCAGGGCGGGAGGTGGGAAACGGGGTGTCGCAGGATCGGTTCCCGGCCCCCCGTTTCTGGAGCGATCCCTTAACTTCCCAGCGCACCCCCGCTGCAGGGGGCGGGGAGGCGGGGGTCTTGACCACCTCCCCACCCACCCCCACACACACTGGCCAGCAGGGGGGCCACCAGGGTGCGAGAGGGGAAACGGGGTGTCGCAGGATCGGTTCCCGGGCCCCCCGTTTCTGGAGCGATCCCCTTAACTTCCCAGCGCACCCCCGCTGCAGGGGGCGGGGAGACGGGGGTCTTGACCACCTCCCCACCTACCCCCACACACACTGGCCAGCAGGGGGGCCACCAGGGCGCGAGAGGGGAAACGGGGTGTCGCAGGATCGGTTCCCGGCCCTCCCCCCATATCTGGAGCGATCCCCTTAACTTCCCAGCACCGAAGCCCAAGGAGGTGGGGCGCTCCCTCGGGGGGGGGGGGGTGGTCCCTACCGGGGGATCGCGGGGCGCTGCTCCCGCCCCCTCCCCAGCCCCACTTTGAATCTCAAAGCGTTTTCTAGAAAGGAGACCGAGGGACAGACGGACAACCCGACACCCCCCCCCAAAAAAAAAAAAAACAAATGAGTTCCTTCTCCTTCCCACCTGTGGCTTCCTTAGGGCCAAGGGTCCAGCAGGGGGGAGGGGGCGCAGGGGCGAGGGGTCTGGGGGAGGACAGCGCGGCCACCTGACCCCTCCCCCTTTCGTACCCCCCCCACATCGCAACGGGGGTGGGGGTGGGGTCCCAGCCGCCCCCGCGAAACTGGAGGCTGGGAGGGGGGGTCCCCGAACTCACCTGCCCTAAGGGGGTGGCGTTGGCCCGAGAGTAGGCGGCCCCGCCGACACGGACGTGGACACGGACGCAGACACGGACGCGGACACGCGGGGTCTGGGCGCGGGGACGCGGTCGCAGCTGCCACAGCGCAGCCGGGCTCCTGGGCGGCGGGAAGCGGCCCAGCCCCGCGCCGTATTTCTCCTAATAGGGCCGCCTTGGCGCCCGCGCCGGGCTGGAGGTGGCCGGAGAAGGGGCAGAATCAAAGGGGAAGGGGGCTTCCTGGATTTAAGTGCCCCCGCCCCCACCCAGCGCACCCACACGCGCCTAGTATACCTTGGTGGGTGTGGCGAGCAACTCTCAAGGAACGGAAGTTCAGCCGCAGCAGTTAATAGAATAATAATCACAGCTGGATGTGTTTCTCCTTTTTGGCCCCGTATCCCCCTTGCTTTTTTTTTTTTTTTTGGAGGGGGGAGAGACAGTGCTCAGGGGACCATGCGATGACGAGTGGACACCCCGGAAGTTTGCAAAACGTGCATTCCTGTCCTTTGAACCGCCTGAGGAGACGGGTTTCCTACTAGAAATAAGGACTTTGGGTCACCCGGCAATGCACAGGGGTTACTTCTGGCTCTGCACTCAGGAATTCCTCCTGGTGGTGCTCGGAGGACCCTATGGGATGCTGGGAATTGAACCCGGGTTGGCCGCGTGCAAGGCAAACGCCCTCCCCGCCGTGCTATCGCTCCAGGCCCCTGGACAGCACTGTGCATTCATGTCACAGACATTTATTTCATGAGGACCAGCTGGAGGCTGGACAGTGGTCTCCAGGGGGGTAAAAAGCAGTATCTCCTCCTGTTCCCAAGCCATGGGGCAGGTGGCCTCATGAGGACACCCCTGGGTGGGACCCCGTGGAGAGGTACACACAGTTTGGTGGGGAGCATGGCCCCCAGAGCAAAGGAACTCAGGGCCTGGTGAATGAGAAGGGCCAGTCTGCTGCTCATACAGTGGACCTGGGGCTGGAGTAATAGGACAGTGGGGAGGGCTCTTTTCTTTTCTTGCACACAGCCAACCTGGGTTCGATTCCCCGGCCCCTCCATAGGGTCCATGAGTCCTACTAGGGCAGAGCCTTGAGCGCAGAGCCAAGAGAGGGCCCTGAACACAGCTTAATGTGGTCCCAAACCAAAACCCCATATCAAAATAGACCCCCCAGGGGCTGGAGCGATAGCACAGCGGGTAGGGCGTTTGCCTTGCACGCAGCCAACATGGCCAACACAGGTTCAATTCCCAGCATCCCATATGGTCCCCTGAGCACCGCCAGGAGCGATTCCTGAGTGCATGAGCCAGGAGTAACCCCTGAGCATCGGTGGATGTGACCCAAGAAGCAAAAAAAAAAAAAAAAAAGACCCCCCCACCCCATCTCCTGTCTGCAGTTAGGATCACAGGGGACTTCTGAGTCCTCGTCCCCTGCAACCGGCCCCCTCCTCCCTCCCTGCATCCCCTTCCACCCAGCCTCGAGTTCCCCTTCCAAACCCCAAGTTCCAAGTGCTGCCACGGCTCAGAGGAGCAAGCAACACGAAATCATCTCCAGGAACAAGGGAGCTCAGTGGGAGAACTTGCCTTGCATATGTGAGACCCTGGGTTCGATCTCCAGACACACACACACACACACACACACACACACACACACACAAATGCTGATCTGCCGAGGCAGGAGAGATAGTACTGCAGGGAAGGCATTCGCCTTGCATGCAGCCAACCCAGATTTGATCCCGCCCGCATCCCATAGTATTCCTTGAGCCCCTCCAGGAGAGATCTCGGAGCACAGAGCCAGGAGTCAGCTTTGAGCACTGCTGGGTGTAGTGCAATAACAAAAGGTGCTGGTCTGATTCAAAGACTATCCCTGTGCTTGGGAATGTCCTGAGATCCCACTGGCCTGGAATGAACTGACTCGACAGCAGAGAGAGGTACTGTCAGCGGGAGACCCTGTGGCTCTCATATCCCTACTTGAACTTGGTTCCGTGGTCCAGATGGGGAAAGTTGGGCTCAGAGGGAACAGTGACATGATCCCCATCACCACAAAGTGCCACACTGGTCTGAGAGGGGAGGCCAATCTCCAAGATTCTTCAGTTCCAGAGGGCTGCCACCCCCAGGTAGCCCACCATACCTTCAGGTCTGGACCAGACAGTCCCGCAGTGTGCCAGCCCCCATGAAAGCTGTCTTGAAGCACCTCAGGAGGATGGTTGTGGTGGTCTTGTCCCTGAGGTATCCCCAAGACACATGGATCTTTTTCTTTTTTTCTCTCACAATATTCAGAAAAGGGTTTATTAAACTTATTTTACTCAAGCATCATTCTTGATGGGGCAAGATTCTCTGCCATCAGCGCCGAAGTGATAAGACAGGGGGTAAGGCACTTGCCACACGGCCAACTGGGGTTTGATCCCTGGCATCCCATATGATCCCTAAGCACTGTCAGGAGTAATTCCTGAGTGCAAAGCCAGGAGGAACCCTGGAGCATGACTGGGTGTGCCTCCCTCGTTGCAAAAAAGAAAATGATCTGTCATCTCTGGGCAGAATTTTGAGTCTGAGACACAGGGGTCACTGCGGAAGATGGGACCCACCTCTTTTCCTGCAGCACGTGGGGGTGGCATGAGGGGGACCCCTTCCTCCAATGCAGGACAAGGACATTGGACTCAGAAGCAGAAGCAGCGACCCAGGAAGTGAAAGTAGTGACCCAGGAAGTGTATGCTTGCAAAAGAGAGGTCAAAGCCAAGGCTTTGATGGACAGGTCAGGCTGAAGATTTGGGGGTTCTCCACTGCAGCCGGGTCTCTCCTCCTAATTGGGTTGGGATCGGTGTTGGGGCAGGTCATGTGCTGGTTCTGAGCTAAGCAACTTGGGACACTGATCTGGGGTTCAAATGCTTATGGTAACTCTTCCCCTTGCTGTGTGACTTCTGCCAGCTTCTATCCATCTCTGTGTCATCAGTGACGCATGGAGCTCAAACCTTGCCCTGCATCTGAGGCAGATGAGGCTTCTCTCACTGACTGAAAAAATGATTAGGAGCTAGAATGTGGGGAGGTACCACCAATACAAGATCCCTTGGAGGGCTGGGAAGGGAGTTGGGGCTTGGTCAGGCTTCAAGGTAGAGCCCAGAGCCCTGTGCTTTGCCACAGCTCAGTCAGCTGGAACCCCACCCATCCGTTCCACCCTGGTGAGGAGGTCCCATGGGGGTCGTCCCTCCCCGGGGGCATGGTGGCCCCTGCCCTAGGAGGGGATTCAGGGCCTAGCTGCCTCTGTCTCCCTGACTGGAACATTACATAGCCCAGTGCCTCCATCCGCAGAGACCCCTGCGAAGCCCCCCTCACTGGAAACCTCCACAGATGGGGAGACTCTGGCCCCAGGTGGAGGCTGCCCAGCCCTGGATGGGGGGGAAGGCAGGGGGCAGGAGGGCCTGAGTGGCAAAGCCCAAGGAAGGAAGAGGAGGGCATTCAAAGATAAGGGCCAAAGGGACCAGAGCCACAGTCAGTGGGGAAGGTGCTTGCGGTCCCCCAAGCCCTGCCAAGAGTAATTCCTGAGCAGAGTCAGGAGTTAAGCCTTGAGCAATGCCTGTTGTGGCCTCATGCCTCCCGCAAAAAAGACAAGGCCAGGAATAATCTGGCCCCTCGTGGCCCTGGGTCCAGGCCCTCTCCGAGCCCTGTCTCTGCCCTAAGATGGGAATGACACCCTACCTGCAACTCCTGGGGGCCCCGAGGCCCTGGCGAACCCATGGGAAGAGAAGGGACTGTCTCCCTGTTTCCAGGCAAGAAACTGGGGAGCCCACATGTTTGTGTTGGGGTATCTGCACATGTGTGCATGCCTGTGTGTATGTTGATGTGTAGGACTAATGTCTGTGTATATATGTGTCATGTGCAGGCATGTATATATGCATATATGTACACACATACCAACGTACACACGTGTATGTGTCTTGGGCATGTATACACATCCAGTGTGTAACATGTACGTGTGTGTTGGTGCATGCATATGTATGCTTGCATATGCAAATATGTTTACGTGTGCCCATATGCATTCATATGGGTATCGTGTGAATGCATGTATGTATGCCTGCATGACTACATGCGTACACGTATTGTGTGCATATATGTATACGTACCTTGTGTGTGCCGCGTGTCATGTGCATGTGTGGATGTGTGTATACATGTACAGTATACATGCATGCATGTATGTACCTGTGTGCATGTAGGTAGCTTGTGCAATGAACATAGGGCTTAGGTATTGTATGTGAATATACAGGTATACCTTCGTGATGGGTACGCATATATATATGCGTGCATATGTATTTGTGTGCACGCGTAGCATGCTTATTTTGTGTGGTGCATGCATGGGTGTACACCCAGATCCATATATATTGTGTATCATCTATGTGTGTTCATGCATGCGCATGTGTGTTTCTGTTCCCATGGTCCTTCTCGCTTCTCAGGGTCCCTCCCTGCAGCATGGGAGGATCCTTCCGGTTCACCCTAGGGACATTCCTGAGCATGGCTGCGTGGCTGATCTGAACCCCCTTCCCTCCTGACTCCCACCTTGGGGGTTCCCTGGGACCGAATAACCGATGGTGAACTGGAGCAGAAGACAATGGTGGGGACCCAGCTGGAGCCAGGCTCCCTGCTTGCACCTCAAAAGCACCCCAGACCACAGCACTCCCAGCTCACGGGCAGGCCTCAGGGAAAGCGAAGGGGCCCAGAAACCAAGCTCTGTCGCCTCTGAGTGGTGTGGCCGAGGGCCCGCCACCTTACTTCTGAGTCTCTTGTTTCCACATCTTTAGTACCCAAAGGGCAGACCAGGTAGAGGGAGGCGATTGGATCCTGGAGGACCAGAGACAGTGAGTGAATGCATGCAGACAAAAATGCTCGCATAAATGGACGGATAATGAAAGAAGAATCCTGGGGGAACGCATGCACGCTTGCGTGGACGAATGTAGTCATGAATGAATGAGTGAATGTTCCGCTCTGATGTTTTTTTGACACTCCCACAGCCCAGTGCAACCACTCAGCGACCCTTCACCCCATGCCTACCCCAACCCCAACATTCTATGCCCCACTTGGAAATCGTGTCTCCTCTGTACCTCAAAGCCCTAGTACTAAGCTATACTCCAGCTGAGCCCGTTACCCGTTTGTTACTCCCTGAGCTCGTCTCCAGTTGCACTGCTCGAATGTGCCTCTGTTGAGAACGGGTCTCCCCTCCCCAGCCCGCTCCATCAAGGTCCTTTGTCATTTCCTCTGAGACACCCCGCCCCCTCTCACCCCCCTCCCCGCAACCGCCACTCAGGACTTCCTGGAAACTGCACTCTGATGTTCTCTGCTCACAGTTGTTAGGATATTTTTAGTGGTGATTTGATAATTAGTGGTGCTTCACTGCTCATTCCACTTGGGCTGTTTTGGTCACCGGGGCATCCCCATTACCCTAGGAGATACGAGGAGCAGAACGCAGGAATATTAAGGATGTGATGTTGAGGGCAGGTGCACCGGTGAGTGGAATGAAGGAAGGGTGGATGCTTTACTAGGTGGTAGATGGATGATTGGGAGGGTGAAAGGGTGGATGGGTGGGGGGTTGAATGGATGGATGAAGGATGAAGGGGTGGATAGGTTACTGGGTGGTGGATGGATGGATGGCTGAATGAAGGGTGGAGTGTAGGTATGAATGGGTTGGTGGGTGAATGAGTTTAATGAATGGGTGGATAAATGTTTAGATGGGTAGGTAGATGGATGAATGGATTAGTGGACTGGTTAACAGATGTATTACTGGATGGATGTGTGGGTGGGTTAGTAGATGGAGAATAGACTGATGAGTGGATAGATGGATGAGTGGGTGGAAGGATAAATATATGAATGGGTGGGTGTATAGGTAAATGAATGTGCATGTCATGGATGGATTGATGGAAAGATGGTTGGATGAGTAGATATGTGAATGGATGGAGAAATGGATGAACGCAGAACGCAGAAGTGTATAGCTGGGTCGATGGATGGGTGGATGGATGGACAGAAGGATGGATATGTGTACGCCTGGATGGATGGACAGAAGGATGGACAGGTGTACGGATGAAAGGATGGAGAGATGGATAGATGGACGGATGAACAGATGGACAGACAAATGTTTGGGTGGGTAGATGTGTAGATGGATAGATTGACAGGTGAAAGGATGGACAAGTGGATTTGAGTTGATGGATGGACAAATGGACAGATGGTGGATGGATGGATGGATGGATGGATGGATGAGAGTAAAAGTGTGGATGGCTGGACAGATGGATGGCACATGGTTGAATGGATGGACAGATGGATGAGTGAACAGATGGATAGATGGGTGGGTGGGTAGACGTGTAGATGGATGGACAGATGGATGGATGGATGGTTAAGTGGATGGACAGATGAATGGTGAGCAGCAGAACAGATAGATGGGTGGATGGATAAATGGATAAGTGGGTGGATAGGTAGGTTTCTGAATGAGTGGAAACAAATGTGACTGGGTAGAGGGTTAACAAGATGCATGGAGGGACAGACAGACAGAGGCTGTCAATCCCCAGGTCTCAGGTAAGAAATGTGGCATCAGGACTGGACTTAAGTAGACAACAACGTTTTTGCACAAATAGAAAAAAATAAAAAGAAATGTGGCATCAGAGTCTCCTTCTGTCTGTCTCCTTGAATTTTGAGCTAGTGACTGACTCATCTCAATTTGCAGGTGCCCCCCTCCAGCCTCGCTGACAATAGAGAAAGCCCAGTCTCTCTGTGGAGATGTGGACACTCAAGGCTGAGCAGAGACGAGGCAGGGCTAAGGGATAACCCCCCCGGAAGATGAGGGTCTCGGGACGAGAAGGTGGGCATTGAGCACAACACTGGAGCTCAGGAAAGGGGTCTGGAGGGACCCCGAACCACGTGGGAAGCCCTCTCTGGGGTCCAGTAGGAGTGGTGTGGACAAGAAACCAGGAGATCTGGCCAGCTATATTGGGATAGCTTGAAAAAGATTTGTAGCATTGGGGGGCTTAAATTAGGATGTGTCCAAAGAAGTGGGGGATATAAATGGAGATGTGGGAGAGTTGGGGGGACTGGGAGGGGGTGACACCCTCCCATCCCCCCCACAGGGCATTTCACAGCCTCTGGGGACAGGATGGGGAGGCAGATCTGGTACCATCTTGAGAGAAACTTCCCCCTGAACCCCCCGGGCCCCCCTTTTCACATGCAGGTAGCTCTGTTCCTTGTGGTCACCCCATGTTTAATGCCAAGATTCCAGGTGTCCAGCCCAGGTCGACAGCTGGCATGGGGGAGGGTCCCTGCCACCCCCAACCCCATAGTCTCGGAGGAGCCTAGATGTCCCTCTCTCATTCCAGATGAACCTTAAGGTTGCCACCCTGTTTCGATGTCACCCGGGACCCCAGCTGAGGACCACACAGCACCCCAATAGTCCCCTCCACCACAAAGACAGTTGGGTACCGATTTTTCAGGAGGTAAAACAGTGCAGCCGAGATCAGAATCCATCTCCAAGCCAGGAAACCGGGGTGGGACTCCCCCAGAAAGAGCACCTCCATCTGTCCGGACTGAAAAAGGGGGTCTGGGGCTCCTTGTGGAGCTCCACCCGGGACCCCCAGAACCAAGGCTGCTTTTGATATATGTTCTTTAAAGGCGAGAAGAGGTTCTGTCTTTGGTATATGCACCCCTCCCCCACTCCAGCTAATGGGCAGAGGCAGGCGGGAGGGGGGTGCGCTGGGGTCAACCCAGCCCAGCAGAAACAAGAAGATTCTGGAGACCCACGCGGAGGATGGAGAGTCCGAGGCAGTTCTGACCACGGTCCAGAGGCCACAACCAAGGTGCAGCGATGGGATGGATAGGATCGAGGCTCAGGATCATCCCCTAGGGAGAAAGAGGAGAGGTCAAGGGTCAAGGGTGAGTATGAGAACCCCAGCTTGCAGGAAGTAAAGTGACCCAGCTAGGAAGGAAAGGGGATGTGGCTGGCTCGGCGAAGCTAGCTCCCTCAGGTTCTTTTTGTTTGGGTGAGCCATACCCAGCAATGCTCAAGAATCACTCCTGTGGGGGGTTCGGGGGAATCCTACTGGTTGCCAGTGATCAAACCTGGGTCAGGTCCGTGCCAGGCAAACGCCTTACCCACTGGACTGGGACTTCACCCTCTCTGCACTGTTACCAACCAACAGCCCCTGCACAGAAGTATGGGAAGAGCTGAGAGCAGAAAAGGGAGGTAGATAGAGCCAGGCTGGACAGAGCAGGGGAGGACTCCTGCTCAGAGATAAAAGTAAGTGCTCGCCTTGCATGGGCCTGACCCCCCTGCTTCCCACAGGGGCCCCAGAGCCCCCCAGGAGTGATTCCTGAGCAAAGAGCCAGGAGTAACTCTTGAGGACCACTAACTAATACCCCTCCCCTCAAAAAAAAAAAAAGGAGGCAGGTGTTGACTCAACTTCCTGGTGTTCCAGAGGCCCCCGCCCCCCACTGGCTGGGCACCTCATCTTACCAAGGTGCAGGCCTTGGCCTGGCTAGGGGCAGAGAGGAGGTGGCGGGAGCTGAGTGCCGGAGGAGGCAGGAAAGAGGCGTTGTCATGGGGACGGTGAGCCCGCCCTGGCCCAGAAGCTCCGGTTTGCACCCTGGGGAATTTCCACAGTTCCCGGCCCTGCAGCCCAGTTACTGATCTCTTCTCCTCCCCTGCCGGAAGCAGCTCGGTCGCCCCCAGGCTCAGCCCTATCCTCTGCTGGCTGACGGGTCCCCAGCTCCCCCAGCCCCCCTGGCTCACCGGAACAGGCCTGAGGGCCCCGCTTTGTTGCTTTCTCTTTGCTGGGCTTGGGGAGCATCCCGCTAAGCAGTTACACCTTAAGGTGGTAATCCCACTCCTGAGTGTATGCCCTCGAAGGCCTGGGCACGCACAAGGCGAATTCTAAGATGCCTACACAGGGAATGCGAACTCGGTGCCCCCCATTTTTTTTTTGCTTTTTGAGTCACACCCAGCGATGCTCAGGGGTTACCCCTGACTCTGCATTCAGGAATCACTCCTGGCAGTGCTGAGGGGACCATATGGGATGCCGGGGCTTGAACCTGGGTCCCCCACGTGCGAGGCAAAAGCCCTACCAGCTGTACTATTGCTCCAGCCCGGTGCCACCCTAATTTGGGACTAGCTCAGTGCTCCAAGAGGCAGTAGCTCTGACGTACCCACATCCCGGGGACATGAGCCCCCAGAAGTCAGGAAACAACCAGATCCCTCCCCCTCAGAGCGGGGTGCCAGGGATAGAAACATCCAGAACATGTGCCAGAGCCATGGCACAGGAGGAGGGCACTTTCCTGGCATGGGGTTGACCTGGGTTCAGTCCCCGCCACTCTTACATAGTCCCCTGAGCCCGCTAGGAGTGATTCTTGAAAGCAGCACTAGGAGTCAGCATCACTAGGTGTGGCCCAAACACCCTCCCCCCCTTCAAAAAAGAAACATCTAGGGGGCTGGAGCAATAGCAGTGGGTAGGGCGTTTGCCTTGCACGTGGCCAACACGGGTTCGATTCCCAGCATCCCATATGGTCCCCTGAGCACCGCCAGGGGTAATTCCTGAGTGCAAAGCCAGGAGTAACCCTGTGCATCGCCAGGTGTGACTCCCCCCCAAAAAATCTAGGGATTGGAGTGATAGCACAGTGGGCAGGGCGCTTGCCTTGCAAGCAGCCGACCTGGGTTGTATTCCCAGCATCCCATATGGTCCCTCAAGCACCGCCAGAAGTAATTCCTGAGTGCAGAGCCAGGAGTAACCCCTGAGCATCGCTGGGTGTTGACTCAAAAAGCAAAAAAAAAAAAAAATCTAGGGGGCTGGAGCAATAGCACAGTGGGTAGGGTGTTTGCCTTGCACACGGCCAACACGGGTTCGATTCCCAGCATCCCATACGGTCCCCAGAGCACCACCAGGTTAATTCCTGAGTGCAGAGCCAGGAGTAAACCCTGTGCATCACCAGGTGTGACCCAAAAAAAGAAAAAAAAAAATCTAGGGGTTGGAGTGATAGCACAGCAGGCAGGGCAATTGCCTTACACACGCCGACCTGGGTTCTATTCCCAGCATCCCATATGGTCCCCCAAGCACTGCCAGGAGTAAAGTAATTCCTGAGTGCAGTCAGGAGTGACCCCTGAGCATCGCTGGGTGTGACTCAAAATGGAAAAAAAAAACACATCTAGGGGGCTGGAGCAATACCACAGTAGGTAGGGCATTTGCCTTGCACACGGCGAACACGGGTTTGATTCCCAGCATCCCATACGGTCCCCAGAGCACCACTGGGTTAATTCCTGAGTGCAGAGCTAGGAATAACCCCTGTGCATCTCCAGGTGTGACCCAAAAAAAGAAAAAAAATCTAGGGGTTGGAGTGATAGCACAGCAGGCAGGGCGATTGCCTTGCACAAGGCCGACCTGGGTTCTATTCCCAGCATCCCATATGGTCCCCCAAGCACTGCCAGGAGTAAAGTAATTCCTGAGTGCAGAGCCAGGAGTGACCCCTGAGCATCACTGGGTGTGACTCAAAAAGCAAAAAAAAAAAAAAAAAGAAAGAAAGAAAGAAACATCTAGGGGGCTGGAGCAATACCACAGTAGGTAGGGCGTTTGCCTTGCACACGGCCAACACGGGTTCGATTCCCAGCATCCCATATGGTCCCCCAAGCACCACCGGGAGTAATTCCTGAGCGCAGAGCCAGGTGTGACCCAAAAAGAAAAAAAAAAAAGAAACATCTAGAACAGACTGGAAGTGAGGTGAGGGGAGAGAAGTTGGACGGGGCGGGAGGGAGGGGTCTGCTGAAGGGGAAGGGGACCAGGCTTCCTTTTGAGGGGGATGGAATGTGCTGCAATTACAACGGTGGTGGTGGTGGGGTGCCCAAGGTGTAAAGGGACTGAAATGTGCTGAGCCTGCGAGCCTGGGGTTGACGGCAAGGGCATGGCACACACCCGGCTCAGGGCTCCCGCTTGACCACGCCGCGCAGGTGCAGCTCGCTCTCGGCGGCCACGATGGGCTGCCCGTTCTGCACGTGGTAGTCGATCAGGTGGCTGATGCTCTCGAACAGCACGTCCTTGGTCCGCACCTGCGGGAACAGGAGCCCCAGACAGGAAGTGGGTGGGCGGGGCGGAGCTCCGGTGGGCGTGGCCGTCTAGCGCCACGCCCACGCTGCATCTGCATTTTCTTCATCTCACCCGACTTTCTGGGTTTGGAAGAGCTTGGCCGTTTTTTAGTTCCCTTTTCCTTTTCTTTCTTTTTTTTTTTCTTTTTTGGGGGTTGGGGTGGGGGAGGCACACCTGACGGTGCTCAAGGCCTACTCCTGTCTCCCTGCGCTCAGGGATCACTCCTGCCCGGCTCGGAGGACCCTATGGGATGCTGAGGATCGAACCTGTGTTGGCAGTTGCGTGAAAGGTAAATGACATCCCCGCAGTACTATCGCTCTGGTTCCAAGACGGTTGCTTTCTTTTCTTTTCTTTTTAGCCCCCTTTTTAAAACGTCTGGGGGGCTGGAGCGATGGTACAGCAGGTAGGGCGTTGGCGTCGCACGCGGACGACCCAGGTTGGATTCCCAGCATCCCATGTGGTCCCCCGAGCACCGCCAGGAGTAATTCCTGAGTACAAAGCCAGGAGTAACCCCTGTGCATCGCTGGGTGTGACCCAAAAAGAGAAGAAAAAAAAGAAACGTTTGGGTCTCACCCGGCAGTACTCAGGGCTGACTCCTGGGCTCTGTGCTCTGGAATCCTTCTTGGAGGTACTGGGGAGAGCTTATGGAGTGCCAGGAATCGAAGCTAAGGTCAATCGCATGCAAAGTGGGTGCCTTCCCTGATGTACTATCTCTCCGACACACTCCCCTTGATTTACTTTTTAATTTTTTGGCTTGTTTTGGGGGCATACCTGGCAATGCTCAGGGATCACTCTTGGCACGTTCAGGGGACCTATGGGGTACCGGGGATCAAATCCCAGATTGCCAAGTGCAAGGCAAATGCCCTGTCTTACTATCGCTCCAGCCCCAATTAAAAAAAAAATTTTTTTACAGGTTTAGGCCAGGGCTGGAGTGATAGTACAACAGTAGGGTGTTTGCCTTGCATACGACCAACCCAGGTTCAATCCCTGTCATCCCATATAGCTAGGCGTGGCCCCAAACCAAAACAAAAAAAATGTTTAGGCCACATTAGTCGTGTTCAGAGCTTGGTCCTCCTCTACACTCAGGGATCACTCTTGGAGGGGCTGGGGGGACCCTATATAGCATAGGGAATCGAACCTGGGTCAGCCATGTGCACGGCTGTACTATCACCCCGTGGGTTTTGTGATGGGTACGCAAATCAGAGAAGCCCTGTGTGGGTCAAATAAGAGACAGATACTGTCCTTTTGCCCTCCTCTCACTCCATTGTCCCCTACACAACCCCCACAGTTTCTGGGAGGGAAGCCAAGGCTGACCCTGGGACCTGTCCTGGCCAGACAATCCCCAGATTGTGAAGAGAAAACACACGGGCAGGTGTTCTCACAAACTCCCAGGCGTGTTGTTTCCTTCTGCTTTTTCTCAGGGTTGTGTCAAATGCAATTGCCTTTTGTTCTGCCTGAGTATGGAAGCTGACCAGACAAAGCTGAGGTTCTTCTGCTCATGTCTAGGAATAAGCGACACCAAACCCCAGTCTCTCACCACCGACCCCCTTCTGATTTTGTGCTTAGCATTTAGGCTTGCAGACCTCACTGTGAGTCAGAGAGGACCCAGGCGGGGTGAAACTCAGAATTCCAGTACAGGTGGACCCAAGTGACAGTACAGCAAGAAGATACTTGCATTAAAATGGCCAACCATGCTTTGATACCCAGAACCCCATATGGTCCCCTGAGTTCCATTAGAGGTGAGTCCTTTGGTTTTCTTTTTGTTTTGTTTTTTTTTTTTTTGCTTTTTGGGTCACACCCGGCGATGCACAGGAGTTACTCCTGGTTCATGCACTCAGGAATTACTCCTGGCGGTGCTCAGGGGACCACATGGGATGCTGGGAATCGAACCTAGGTCAGCTGCGTGCAAGGCAAACACCCTACCCGCTGTGCTATTGCTCCAGCCCCTCCTTTGTTTTTTTTGTTTTGTTTTGGTGTTAACCCTCGGCTGTACTCAGGGGTTACTCCTGGGTCTCTACTCAGGAATCACTCCTGAGGGTGCTCGGGGGACCCTATATGGTTCAGGAATAGCCTTACCACTATTCTATCATTCTGGCCCCAGGAGTGATTCCTGAACACAAAGGCAGGAGTAAGCCTTGAGCACTGCTGGGTGTAGTTCCACCCCGTCCCTGAAAAAAAAAAAAAACTATAATTCTAAAATTGTGAAACAATGAGAACAGAAGCTACAAACATTAGGGCTTTGTAATCCAGAAAACACTTCACGAACCTCAAGGATAATGGGTTCAGAGATATCGTACAACAGGTAGGAAGCCTGCTTGGCATGTGTTTTACATAGGTTCCATCCCCAGCACCCCATACGGTCCCCCCGAGCCCCGCCAGAAATGATCCCTAAGTGTAAAACCAAAATTAAGTCCTCGGGGCTGGAGTGATAGTACAGCGGGTAGGACGTTTGCCTTGCACGTGGCCGGCCAACCCGGGTTCGATTCCCAGCATCCCATATGGTCCCCCAGGAGTGATTCCTGAGTGCAGAGCCAGGAGTCAGCCCTGAGCATTGCCGGGTGTGACCCAAAAAGCCAAAAAAAAAAAAACCCCACAAAAGAACAAAAGTAAGTCCTCAGTATCTCCAGCGGTGGCCCAAAAACTAAGAAATAAATAAATCTCAAAGATGCTAAATTCCGGGGCTGGAGCGATAGCACAGCGAGTAAGGCGTTTGCCTTGCACGCAGCCAACATGGTCGACACAGGTTCGATTCCCAGCATCCCATATGGTCCCCTGAACACCGCCAAGAGCAATGAACACCGCCTGAACACCGTCAGGAGTGCATGAGACAGGAGTAACCCCTGAGCATCGCCGGGTGTGACCCAAAAAAAGAAAAAAAAACTCAGCTTCCTGAGAGCCAGGACTGCTTAAGTCAATTAAAATGTGTTGGGGGCTGGAGCAATAGCACAGCGGGTAGGGCGTTTGCCTTGCACGCGGCCGACCCGGGTTCGATTCCCAGCATCCCATAGGGTCCCCTAAGCACCGCCAGGAGTAATTCCTGAGTACATGAGCCAGGAGTAACCCCTGTGCATCGCCGGGTGTGACCCAAAAAGAGAAAAAAAAGATGCTAAATTCCTTCTTGTATGTGGAAGGGCTCACCCACACCATGCATGCCCAGCTCCATCTCCGGCCAATTCAAGACAAGTACCTTCAAGTCATACCCTTTATCCCCGCCCACCAGTTACGATTGGTCCTTAGACATCCAATAGGATGCGCCTTGTTGACCACGCCCCAGGCCACGCCCCCACGCCGGGCCCTTCTGAGATCCCGCACCTCCCTGATCCAACCCCTTTTCACCCTGGCCTGAGCCTTGCCCTGCCCCTTACCACGCCTTCCGGGTCCACGAGCAGCAGGTGCTTGGGCTGCCCAGCGTGCATGCCAGTGAGCACGTACTGCCCTGGGTTCGTGACGCTGTCACGTACAAGGAAGTCCCCATCAGCGCGCAGCAGTTTCTCTGCAGCCCGACGGCTCATCTGGCCGTGGTACCAGGGCTCCTGCCGCAGCTGTTCCTCCGTGGGGGCGATGGGGGCCCGGCGGGTGGGAGGGCTGGGCCACTGGTCCTCCACGGGGACCGTGGCCACAGGGGCTGCCGAGACCGCCACCAGGGAGCACTCGTGCAGCTTCAGGGCGTCCTCAAAGGGTCCTGTAGGCAAAGACAGCGTGGGACGCAGGGGTACAAGGCTGCATCCTGCTGGGAAGTCGGCGGGGGTGAGGAGGACAGCCCAAAAACTGGGTGGTGGACACTGAATGCCCTTCTGCGTCTCAAGTTCCTAGTACCTAGTTCTGAGTACACTGAGTCCCCACTGGGCCCTTCCTTGTACCTCACCGGGCTCTGGGTCCACCACCGAGCGGGTTCCGTGCCAAGTGGAAGCTAAGAATGTGTGTCCCTTAGAATGGTAATGATGATGATGTTCATCATTGTGAATGTTAAAAATATTGTTGTGGGGCTGGAGAGATAGCACAGCGGGTAGGGCGTTTGCCTTGCACGCGGCCGACCCGGGTTCGATTCCCAGCATCCCATATGGTCCCCTGAGCACCGCCAGGAGTAACTCCTGAGTGCAGAGCCAGGAGTAACCCCTGAGCATCGCGAGGTGTGATTCAAAAAGCAAAAAAATATATATATATATATTTGTGACTAGCTAAATTTAAGTATGCCATAGTACTGTGAAATCTATCTATGCAGTTACTTAATCTCCATAAGGAAATCATTTTGGATCATTTAAAAAAAAAAAGAATGGGTGTCCCGGGCGAGCCGTCTGCATGAGCTGTGTGTACTTGCTGGGCGTGTGCTGAAGGCGTGTGTCGTCTGTGTAGAGCGTGTGTGAGCTGAGCATGCCTTTGGGAGCTGTGACTCACTACCCCGGCCACACGCATCCTCATACAAGAGGCATGTGGGATGACTTGGCCCAGACACCCCAGCGCCGGGCACTTTTTTTTTTTTTTGCTTTTTGGGTCACACCCAGCTATGCTCAGGGATTATCCCTGGCTCTGCACTCAGGAATTACTCCTGGCGGTGCTTCGGGGGCCATATGGGATGCCAGGGATCGAACCCAGGTTGGTCACATGCAAGGCAAATGTCCTGCCCGCTGTGCTATCACTCCGGCCCCACGCCAAGGCACTCTGCCCCCAAATCTTGCCTTGCACGCCTCTTCTTTGATGAGTCTGACACGTGACCAAGCCTAGCCGATCGCCATATGCCACTCATTCACACCTTTGCCAGTGAGTGACTGGGGTGAGCACGTGACCCGCGGGGAGTGGATCAGAGGTAACTGGCATTTTTCTTTGGGAACAGGAAGATACAGTCCTGCCTCCAAGGGGTTGTGGTTAAGTGGTGCCCGGAGTGGTTGAAGGGCATTACACTCTCATTCGGTCTGAGGAAGGTGGTGAGCCAGGAACCAGCTCAGGGCCAGAGATATACTCCAGGGGTATAGTTTATCTCTGCACATATAAATATATATATATATATTATATACATATATCAAGTGATCAAATTATATATATAATAAAATAAAATTAAAAATATAAAATAGAGTAAAAAATATATATAAAATCTGAACTGGCCCATCTGAGCTGGCCCAGTCCAACCCCTAGCATGCTTGATTCTCCCAAGTAACAGCAGGTGTAGCCCAAAAACCACCCCTTCCCCCAATAAAATAACAAGAACCAATTCAAGTATCTGTCAGTAAGAGGAAGTTGACAGGTGAGATGGTGGGGGAGGGGCTTTCCACTGGCTTGGGCGGTTCTCAGGGACCCGGGGGTCCCCGGTGGGGAGGCATGGAGAGAGAGATTAGACTAATGTCATGGACAGTGTGGAGGGTGTCCTGGATACAGGCCTCCTCCATTAGACAAAGCCCTGCCTCAGTCTGGAGCACCCCACCGCCCCCCCGGGAAGAAAATTGGAAAAGAGAAGAGTTTCCTAATTAGTTGTCATTGGTTGGAACCTCCCTTATCAGTCTGGGTTCCCCAGGGAGCAGAAGGTGCCTACTCCATCAGGCTGGAATTCTCACAGGGAGAAGTTTGGGCCTCCTCCCTCAGACTATGGAGTCAAGAAGGAAGAAGCTGGGAACTTGAGGAAGTCGGGGATGGCTAACGCCTTCCTGATTCCACGAGGGGAATTCCAAAGAAAACCAAGCTCCCATTTCATCAACTTGGAAAGGCCCGAGGGGAGAGGGTGGGGCCTCTGGGTTGAGACCCCAGGTTGCTGGGGCATGACACCCCCCACACACACACACACCCTCCGGCTTATCCCTACATACGCATGTCAAATAGGTCCTTCTGGGGACTGTCCTCAGGACGCAGGAGCTCCAGGCCATCCAGACCCTGTGTGTTGACATAGAGGTGATCCTCATAATCTTGGGGACCTCGGGCGTCCGCCTGCACATAGCCGTCCCCTGGCGGGGCTGGGGGGAAGCAAGGAAAGGAGGTCAGTTAGGGGGAGCCCAAAGGAAGGGCTTGCAGAGTGCAGGAATCCAGGAGGGAGGCGTGGCCACATCTGGAACCCTCCTGCAAACCTTAGAAGCTGGTTCACACCTGGGAGCACAGTTCACACTTGGGAGCACAGTTCGCACCTGAGAACACAGTTCACACCTGGGAATACAGTTCACACCTGGGACCCCCAACCACACTTGGGAATTCAGTTCACACTCAGGAGCACAGTTCACGTCCGGGAGCACACTTTATACCTGGGGGCCTTGGTCACACCTGGGCCCCTGCACCCAACCCCACCATAAGTGTCTCCCTCTGCATGGTCATGGGGAGGGAGACCGGGACGGATATCTACCCAGCCCCGTTCCGGGCAGCCAAGAGAAGCCAGTACGCCCCCTTGATTATGCTCAGTCTCCAAATTTCAGAACAGCCGCAGTAAGCGCTGTGCTTGCTGCAATTACGGTAGCACCCGGATCCAGAGGGAGTTTGAATCTGTTGTCATTCCACTTCCGGATTTCCTGTCTACATTTTATTTATTATTTTGTTGTTGTTGTTTTGGGGCCACACTCGGCGGTACTCAGGGCTTCCTCCTGGTTCTGTGCTCAGGGATCACTCCTGATGGGGCTTAAGTAGTGCCAGGGGACCCTTTGGGGGTGCCGGATAGTGAACCTTTGTTGACTGCATGCAAACAAAGCCCCATCCACTGTGCTATGTCCCTGGCTCTGCTTTGTCCCACAGTATCTGGCTATTCAGGATCCAATCTCTGTCTTTTTTGGGGGGTGGTTTTGGTTTTGGGGTCTCACCCAGTGGTGCTCAGTGCTTACTCCTGGGGTTGCACTCAGGGAACATTCCTGGCAGGGCTCAGGGGACCCTATGGAGTACTGCGGACTGAGTCGGTCATATGCAAGGTAAGTGCCTTCCACACTGGACTATTGCTCCACACCCCAGGATCCAATCTCTGTTTTTATTTTTATTTTTTTGCCAATATCATTACCCCTGGCTCTGCACTCACTGCAGGGTGTGTGTGTGTGGGGGGGGGGGGGGAGGTCGAATCATTTTGTGCCCCAGATACTGTCTTTGTGAGGTGGGGAGAGGACAGGCATGGGTGCCTCCAGAGATGGGGTGACGCCTGGAGCTTCCAAACTGCATCTGGTAAAAGTGAGGTTTCAGGGGCTGGAGCGATAACACAGCGGGTAGGGCGTCTGCCTTGCACGCGGCCAACCCAGGTTCGATTCCCAGCATCCCATAGGGTCCCCCGAGCACCACCAGGAGTAATTCCTGAGTGCAGAGCCAGGAGTAACCCCTGTGCATCACTGGGTGTGACCCAAAAAGCCCCCCCAAAAAAGTAAGGTTTCAGGCTGAGAGAGCTCACCATGCTGGAGCTTATGTTCGGCATGCAGGAGGCCCCATTTGATCCCCATTTTATTTTATTTTATTTTGGGGGCCACACCCAGCAGAGCTCTGTGGTCAGGAATCACTCCTGGCAGGATCAGGAGATCCTATGGGATGCTGGGGATTCAACCCAGTTGGCCGCATTCCAGGCCAGATCCTCCCCGCAGTGGTCTCTGTTTCTGGCCCTGATTCCCATTACTAAATAGTTTTCCAAGCACCGCTGGGAGTGACCCTGAGCACTGAGCTGGGAGTCATCCACAGGCAGCATTCTCTGTGGCCCCACCCGCCAAAAAATGTTAGGGTTGAATGTGGGCATTCCACTGAGTCAGCTTTGTGGGTACAGTAGGTGGTGGGTGGGGAACAGCCCACCCTCCCCCTCTCCAGAAGGGAGTGCAGGGTCCTCTAGACTATCACCAGTAGGATGCGGGGGAAGGATCGTAGCAGGGTCACAGGGCTGGAACCGTGGAGGGGTAATGCACATGCTTACATGTGTTCGACCTGGATTCCTTCCTGACAGAGGAAGGGAAAGGGGGAGGAGGAGGAGGAGGAGGAAAAGGAGAAGGAGGACAAGGTGAAGGAGGAGGAGGGAGAAAAGGAGGAGGAGGAGGAGAGGAGGAGGAGGTGGAGGAGGAGGAGGAGAAAAGAAGAGGAAGAAGGAGGAGGAGGAGGAGAAGAAGAAGGAGGAGGAGGAGGAGGAGGAGGAGAAAAGAAGAGGAAGAAGGAGGAGGAGGAGGAGAAGAAGAAGAAGGAGGAGGAGGAGGACGATGACAACAACGAGAGGAGGAGGAGGAGGAGGAGGAGAAGAAGAAGAAGAAGAAGAAGAAGGAGGAGGAGGAGGAGGAGGAGGAGGAGGAGGAGGAGGAGGAGGAGGAGGAGGACGAGAGAAGAAGAAGGAGGAGGAGGAGGAAGAGGACAAGAGGAGAAGAAGAAGAAGAAGAAGAAGAAGAAGAAGAAGAAGAAGAAGAAGAAGAAGAAGAAGAAGAAAGAGGAGGAGGAGGATTAGAAGGAGAAGAAAGAAGATAGGAGGAGGAAGAAGAACAGGAGGAGGAGGAGGAGGAGGAGGAGGAGGAGGAGGAAAAGGAGAAGAAAAGACAGCATCCAGGTTGTTGTAATTCTAACTGGGAAGAGCCTAGTGGATATTGGACATCGTTGCTAGGGCACTGACGTATTGCTAGGAGTTCTCAGCCACAGATTAAGGAGCGCTGAACAAGGAGCAACAAAGGCATCAGACCCCTGAGATGCTGGTGAGCCTTCTGGGTATCAGCCCACAAGGTGGACGCCCGCCTGGCACACGTGGGTGGCATTCAAACACACCAGCCGGGAGGCTTCTGCCGCCTGGTAGTGAAATGCCCAGATTATTTGGAAAGACCTAAAAATAGGGCTGCACAGATGTTCGAAGGCTAGGAGGGAACAGACCGCCATGACAGGCGGTGGGCGGCCACCTGGCAGCGCCCATTGGAGAACAGCCACTGCCACCACCGACGATGTGACTAAGACTGGTGGCTGGTTACCCAGTCGCTCAGTGCCCGGTTCCCTGGAGAAGGGTGTGCAGCAGGACAAGGGCAGGTGCAGCCCCTAGTTCCATCAGAGGGTCAGTTCACTGAGCAAACTCCAGGGGCCCTTGTTCAGAGACACAGGTGGGGGCTGAAGCGACAGGACAGCGGGGAGGGCACGTGCCTTCCAATCAGTCAACTCAGGTTCAATTCCCAGCATCCCTTAAGGTCCCCCGAGCACCAGCAGGAATGATCCCTGAGCATACAGCCAAAGAGTCAGCCTGGAGCACTGCCAGGTATGATCCCAAAACCAATGAACCAAATAAGAGACACAGACAGGTGGAGGATAGGGAGATAGTAGAACGGGTAGGGTGAATGCCTCGCACGTGACTGATGTGGTTTCAATCCCCGGCACCCTGTAGGGTCCCCTGAATACCACCAGGAGTGTGATCCTTGAGCACAGAGACAGGAGTCAGTCCTGAGTCCATGCTGGGTATGGCCCTGAAACAAACAACAAAAAAGACCAAACAAGGGGCTGGAGCGATAGCACAGCGGGGAGGGCGTTTGCCTTGCAATCGGCCGACCCTGGTTCGATTCCCAGCATCCCATATGGTCTCCTGAGTACCGCCAGGGGTGATTCCTGAGTGCAGAGCCAGGAGTAACCCCTGAGCGAAAGACCAAACAAAAGAGCTGGTAAGGCCAGGAGTGGGGAGCGTGAGGAGAACCGAACATTCTAGAAGGTGAAAGAGCAATAAAGTATAATAGAAAGCAACATGGAGAACTATCTTCAAAAAACAAAAAGGAGAGGGGATGGAATTGGAATGATAGCACAAAGGGTAGGGCATTTGCCTTGCACACATGACCGACCCGGGTTCGATTCCCAGAATTCCATATGGTCCCCTGAGTACCACCAGGAGTAATTCCTGAGTGCATGAGCCAGGAGTAACCCCTGAGCATCGCCGGGTGTGACCCAAAAGCAAAAAAAAAAAAAAAAAAAAAAAAAAAGGAGGATCAAATGGGGTGTTTGTTTTCCAAGTGGCCAACCTGGGTTCAATCCCAGCATCCTGTATGGTCCCCTGAGCACCGCCAGGAGTAATTCCTGAGGACTGTGGGTTGCGGCCCAAAAAATAAATAAAAAAGAGGGGCTGGAGTGATAGCACAGCGGGTAGGGCATTTGCCTTGCTCGTGGCCAACCTGGGTTCGATTCCCAGCATCCCATATGGTCTCCCTAGTACCGCCAGGAGTAATTCCTGAGTGCATGAGCCAGGAGTAACCCCTGTGCATCTCTGGGTGCGACCCAAAAAGCAAAAGGAAGGAAGGAAGGAAGAAAGAAAATAATCCAAATACCTGACTATGGATAAGTGAGTCAAGAAGCTGTGATTGATCCAACAATGGAATACTATGCAGCTCTGAGAAAGAACAAAATCATGCAATTTGCCACGACATGGGTGATACTAGAGGATATCATGCTGAGTGAAGTCAGTCAGAAGAAAAGGGACAGATATAGAATGATCTGTCTCGTAGGTGGGACTTTAAAGGACTTCAAGCAGGGCTGGGGCTTGCCTTGCACATGGCTGATCCGGGTTCGACTCCAGGAACCACATACTAGGTGTTGGATATCAACCCTAAGTATTTTAGGCTTCACCAATGAACTGCCCCTTCCTCCTCCCAGAGAAGCTTCTCATGTACTTGCTAACATCCCCAATTTGGTTAAAGTCTATCTTTAACCTTTCCCTTGTATCTTACCGCTCATTGTCACAGTTCTCTATGTCAGTCTTGATTACTAATAATAAGGCCCTCCCGTTGATCGTCGATTTGCTCGAGCGGGCCCAGTAACGTCTCCATCGGAGACTTTGTTGTTACTGTGTCTGGCATATCGAATACTCTCGGTAGCTTGCCGGGCTCTCCGAGAGGGGCGGAGGAATCGAACTCGGGTCGGCCATGTTGGCCGCTTGTAAGGCGAACGCCCTACCCGCTGTGCTATCGCTCCAGCAAACACCCCAAAAAGGAGGTCCCGCCGTGGGACTGGAATGGACCCGGGGCGAGTGGCAAAGCTACCTGGCATCAAAATGGGACATTCCAGAAAGCATAAATGCATGGTCTTGATGCAAGATGTTACAACTTAAGAGACAGGACCCCCGTGCGGAAGGACAAGCTGAACTGGCCTGAGGACTTAGTCTGGGATTTACGGTAAAAGCCTTGCTTGCAGGGGCTGGAGAGATAGCACAGCGGGTAGGGCGTTTGCCTTGCGCGCAGCAGACCCGAGTTCGATTCCCAGCATCCCATATGGTCCCCTGAGCACCGCCAGGAGTAACTCCTGAGTGCAGAGCCAGGAGTAACCCCTGTGCATCGCTGGGTGTGACCCAAAAAGAAAAAAAAAAAAGCCTTACTTGCTCTCAGTCCAGAGAACTAAGTGTTGGGATCTTTGTGTCTTAACTGTGTTTATCCAAACAACTGCAATAACTTATACAAGCAGAGGGAAAGACAAAAGCAATGCAGATGTCCCTGGGAGACAGTGTCTTCTTGAGCTGATCTCCCCAAGAGAATTTCCTCTGCCAAATGTTTATCTATGTAAATGTTTATCCTTATCTCAACCCCACTTCAGATGTTCTAGAAGTATGCTAGCAACTCTGCATTAAAGGGGCCATTTTAATATTCAAAGCCAATCAATTCCTAAGTTACAAAGCATATTAATTAATTGTCTTCCTGTATCTATGCAAAAAGGACACTGCATTAAAGTAAACTGCTCAAAAGGCATAAGGAGAGGAGAAAGGCAATATTAACTTACAGTACAGCTTCAGTGTCTAAGAAGGATGAGACCTTACGAATTGGTTGGCCAAGAGAGCACAGAAGTAGTCACAGACAAACAAAGTAATGGGAGTGACTCGGGAGCACTGTGATAGGTGCAACCTGATCAACCTAAGATCCGTGTACTCCAACACCCGTCTCCCCATCTCTCTGGTGAGGAGGTGGGGAGGCGGGAAGGCGACTCTGGGCCACTGAATGCATACCCGCATTGCACACCCGCATCGCAACAGCAGCCCCTGCGATTTACTTTGTGAACTCACGCACAGGGTTCCCCAAGCCTGCCAGAAGTGAGTCCTGAGCTCAGAGCCAAGAATAAGACCTGAGCACTGTCTGGTGTGCCCCAAAAACAGAATGAAAAAGATTCACAGGGATTCATAGGGTCAAAAAGATTCATAGGGTCAAAAGCAACATAATAGGGGAACTTACAATTGAGGTTTCAGGGTTTTCTGGGGGGAGAGATATTGAAAAGGAGGGACACTGGGCTCCTCAGGGGATGGAAGGTTCGTATCCTGGTAAGGGGTGTGCTGTTGGAATTGTGTGCACAGGAAACCATTGCTAAGAATATTGTTGGGGCTGGAGCAATAGCACAGCGGGTAGGGCGTTTGCCTTGCACACAGCCGACCTGGGTTCGATTCCCAGCATCCCATACGGTCCCCCAAGCACTGCTAGGAGTAATTCCTGAGTGCATGATCCAGGAATAACCCCTGTGCTAATGCCGGGTGTGACCCAAAAAGAAAAAAAATATATATTGTTAATCACAGAACTTCAGTCAATTTTTTTTTCTTGGTGGGCCACACCTGGCAGTGCTCAAGGATGACTCCTGGCTCTGTGCTCAGGGAATCACTCCTGGCATGATTCAGGGCACCCTATGGGGATGCTGGGGATCAAACCCCGCTTGGCCATGTGTGAGGCAAACACCTTCCCAACTGTACTATAACTGCAGCCCCTCAGTCAATTTGAGGGGGGAGCCACACCCGGCCGGTGCTCAGGGCTGACTCCTGTGTGCACTCAGGGATCACTCTGGTCAAGCTTGGGGGCCACATGGGATACCACTGGTTGAACTCAGGTCAGTCATGTGCAAGGCAAATGCCCTCCCTGTTGTATTATCTCTTTGACCCCCTCAACTAATGTTTAGAAAAAGCAAAAAGAAAAGAGAATGGAAAGAGACAGGGCGGGGCTCAGAAAGGGGAGCGGTGGGGTCCCTGAAGGCTGGGGACCACTGACCCATACCTGAGGGGCCCAGATCCCATTGCAGGCCCCGGGTGTCTCTTCGAGCTGGGGAGGTTCCCTGAAAAAAATGAGGAAAGGGTCTCCTGAGATGCACAAACCCCAATTACCACACCAGCCCTCACCCTCGCCAGTCCTAAACAGTCTAGGACCGCGATCAGACGGTCCCGCTGGAAATGCTGTCCTGTGTGACCCGCAGCACAGCCAGCATGTCCCCCCACCCCCTCCCACCTGGGAGGACAGCCTGCATTCTGCAGCAAGCCTCCATAAACTGCTCGGCAGGCACCCCAGGCAACTCCTATTCACCCATCAAAGCCCCAACCAGAAGCCGCCTCCTCAGGAAGTCTCCCTGACCACAAGGGGGCGCTCTAATGCAGCTGTGCATCCCCTTTGCTTGGCTCGGTAGGGGTGGCGGGAGCAGAGATGGGCCCAGAGGCTTGTGCAGTTTTCAGGAGAGGGAGTCAAAGGAATGGGTGGGGGGGAGGGGCGCAAGAGAATAATAAGTGGGTTGAGGGGTGTCCCTGCCCCGTTCCTCTCCCCCAAGGCCCAGAGGCTGACCTGGCCGAGGGCCCCGAGGGCGCTGGGCTGTGTGAGGGTGAGCCTGGAGTCCACCAGCCCACCCGGGGGCGGCTCCTTCCCCGGGATGCTGTTGTAGTAGTTATGTTCGTTCTCCTCCTCGTCCCCCCAGGCCGACTCCTCGGGGCCCGTCAGCCTGGGGACAGACACACACAGGGGAGCACCAGTAGCCGCCCTGGGTCACAGGGCTCCCCATGGGGCACCCAGCACGTAGCTTTGAGACGAATGGGACAAGGGCCTCTGACCTCCTCCTGTGGAATTGGGGGTGTGGAGGGGTGGCCCTGACCCGGAAATAGAACTGGCACACCCCCTTCGTCCTCCCGCTGACTGGACAGCAGAGGATCTGAAAGCCCACCCTCCCAACCCCCTCTAAGGGCAGAACCGAGGCACCCCCAGAACTGACATGGGGTGTGTGGGCAATCTGGAGAACCGTCTGGCCCCGCGCTGCCCCAAGGTGGTCATCCTTGAGGTATCGGAACAGGCAAGCAAGAAGTGCCCTGCTGCCTAGCTCACATCGGGGACAGGAGCGCCAGGACCTCGGGCAGGGACAGGCAGCGCGTGTGAGGGAGAGAGTGTGCAAAGCCGTGTGGAAAGAGTGGGAGGAAACCAGTATGGACATGGAGGTGCAAATCCCTTGCGATGTTGTGTGGCCCCCAGACACGCAGCTGCAGATTTGGGGAGGGAAGCTCCCTCCACAGGCTCATTCAACTAATCCAGATTTTGGGGAGCCCACCCCCCACGGGCCTGCACCAGCAGGCCCAGTGGCCCAAAGGGTTTCTAACATTTGGGGGGAGCAACTCCTGGCTCAGGATTGACTCCTGGCTCTGTGCTCAGAGATCTATGTTCAGCGATCTGTGCTCGGGGGATTCTATGGGATGCCAGGGATTGAACCTGGGTCGGCCGCATGCAAGGCAAATGCCCTCCCCGCTGGACTATTGCTCTGGCTCCAGGATTCCTAGTTTTGAAGCCATTAAACTGGCAAAACCAGAAGAAGGGGGGCTGGAGCGATAGCACAGCGGGTAGGGCGTTTGCCTTGCACTCAGCCGACCCGGGTTCGATTCCCAGCATCCTATAGGGTCCTCCGAGCACCACCAGGAGTCATTCCTGAGTGTATGAGCCAGGAGTAGCCCCTGTGCATCACCAGGTGTGACCCAAAAAAGCAAAAAAAAAAAAAAAAGAGAAGGAAGTTAGGTGCTGGTGAGTTTCATTTTTTTCAGTGAAATTCATGTGTGTGTGTGTGCGCACCCACGCGTGTGTGTGTGGGGGGGGGGTTAAATCAATGTCATTAGCACAAGTCCCTTACCAGTCCTGACCACTGAGGGGATGGCAGGGGGGGCTCAAGACCTAGAGGGAGGGGCAGGAAGACGGGGAGGAGGTGGCTGGTACCTCTCGGGGGGCACGACCACAGTCGGGGGGCTGTGCAGGTACTGTTTGAAACGCAGCTCGAAGGCCTGGCCCACGGTGCTGATGACACTCTGCGCCAAGCCATCACAGCACTCCAGGATGTGACAGGCTGCAGAGGGGACAGGCGTCACTCTGTAGCTGACAATCTCCACACCCGCCACCCGCCACCAGCCTCACCTCTCTGGTTGATGGGGTCCTTAGCGACATAGGCCACGTAATCTGTCATGTCCTGGGGAGAGACGTGGAGGTGGTGGTGGGAGGGAGCCAGCCGCCCCCCCACCCCCGTGGGATTCCCAGCCGCCCACCCCCAGCAAGGGAGGGCGGAGGAGGGTGACTCACCGTGTCGCCGCCCGATGCGAAGGAAATAGACTGCATATGATGGTTGGCGATAATCTGGTCAGAGAGACACAGTTGGTCATGGATGGGGGGGGGGCGGGGGCTGTGTCATGGCCAAGGGGACCCCGGGGTGCATGCCAGGCACAAGGCAAGGATAGGGAAAGGCAGGGATATATATCTGGCTCCTCGGAGCAATGAAGGAGGACCCAGAGCCACCAGCCACGGCATGGTAAGGAGGTCTGTGGCCAGGCAGGCTCAGAAGGGCACACAAAAAGGCCCCAGCTGGGGGGCTGGAGCGATAGCACAGCAGGTAGGGCGTTTGCCTTGCACGCGGCCGACCCAGGTTCGATTCCCAGCATCCCATAGGGTCCCCTGAGCACCGCCAGGAGTAACTCCTGAGTGCAGAGCCAGGAGTAACCCCTGTGCATTGCCGGGTGTCACCCAAAAAGAAAAAAAAAATAAAAGGCCCCAGCTGGTGGACACTCCCCATGACACCCATCCATACAATCACTGATCACACATGCGCAGGAGACAGAGTCCACTAAATCCTGCATGAGCCACGGCCCACGCATCTGACACAGTCACGACTGCAGACTGCAGGCTCCCGTACTTTGGGACTGCACAGGCACGCATGGACACCCGCCTCTGCATCCCCCACAAGCATCGACCCCCCAAGACTCTCCAGGAGTGGGGCAAGGGGCACAAAAACACAGAAACGCGGACAGTCACACTCATGCCCACGCACACAAACACACACTCACACATATACAAACATACACATATGCATACGTTCACTCTCTTTCTGACATAATTAACTCATGGGGATTTGGGGAGTTAAGTGGGGCCTCCCAAGAAGTGTTTAGGAGGCCCAGGGACCCCTCCTGGTCACTCATCCACGCAGGTGGCGGAATGAAATTCTTTATTTGTTGTCTGGGTTTTTTTTTTTTTTTGCTTATTTGCTTTTGGGGAGGCCACCCTGGGTGATGCTCAGGGCTTACTCCTGGCTCTGTTCTCAGGAATTACTCCTGGACGTGCTCGAGGGACATTATGAGATGCTGAGGATTGAACCTGAGTTGGCTGCATGCAACACTCTACCTACTACTGTACTGTTGTTCTAGTCCCTGCAGTTTGTTGCTTGGCTTTGGAAAAATTGCCCAGGCAGGCAACAGGAAGCCAGATTAGGGGTGGGCTGGTACAGGCAAGGCAGACCAGCCAAAGAGAGCAGTGGGGAGCCAGGAGTCAGCGCCAGTGGCCTGCATGTGTGAAGTCAAGGCCCACACACCCCTTCCAGCCCCATCCCAGGTGTGTGAGAAGCTGTTCTGGGGATCACAGCGTCCATCCCAGGGCTGGGAGAGGGGGCAATTCTTAGGGCCCACATTCAAAGATGATCCAGGGGACCATGGGTGTCAGCCATCACTATCACTGTACCCACTCTGGGCCCCTGATACACTTAAATATTTTTGTGGCTGTTTTGGGGTCACACTTGGTGGTGCTCAGGGCTTACATCTGGCTGGCCCAAGGGGACTGCATGGGGTGCTGGGAATCAAACTCGGGTTGGCCGCATGCAGGGCAAGTGCTCTACCTGCTGTACTATCTTTCTGTCCCCTGAGACATTTAACTCCTGCACACACCACGTATTCACCCATACTACTCCCCCATTCACATGCACACACGTGCCAGCCCCACCCCCTCAAGGCTCGTGCCAATGAATGCGGGCACCAGTGTACATGCTAACATCCCAGGCAGCCAAGAATGCAGAATGAGGGGCTGGAGCGATAGCACAGTGGGTAGGCATTTGCCTTGCACGTGACCGACCAGGGTTTGATTCCCAGCATCCCATAGGGTTCCCTGAGCACCGCCAGGAGTAATTCCTGAGTGCAGTGCCAGGATTAACCCTTGTGCATCGCCAGGTGTGACCCAAAAAGGGGGGAAAAAAAAAAGAAGAATGCAGAATGAGGAACCAGAGCCATAGTACAGTGGGGAGGGTGCTTGCCTTGCATTCTATTCCTGGCATCTAATTCCTGAGTAGAGAGCCAGGAGTAATCTCTGAGCACCGCCAGGTGTGGTCCCACCATTTAAAAATGGACAAGGGACTGCAGAGATAGCACAGCGGGTAAGGCGTTTGCCTTGCACGCGGCCGACCAGGGTTCGATTCCCAGCATCCCATAGGGACCCCTGTGCATCGCCGGGCGTGACCCAAAAAGCAAATAAATAAATAAATAAATAAATAATGGACAAAAGTGGGACCCAGTGGATCACCGTGAACCCCTGGGCATCCCTGGCTCACTCCTGTCTCAGGGCACTACCCAGCCCATCTGCCTGTCATCAGCACCCGCCTCAAAGCTCCTTCCCCCTCCATGATTTACATGCCTGCTGGCGCCCATTCCCTCATTTGCATGGCGGTTTGTTCATTTGCATGTATTTGCATCCCCGTTTACTCCTCTGCTTGTGTGCATGCCTCTTTGCCTCCATTCACTCCACCGCCATCATTTGCATGTCATTTGCATTCCTTTGACGCTGTGTGTAGGCTCATTTGCATGCATTCACTCATTTGCATGCATTCGCTCATTCATTGGCTCCTGTTTGCATGTTCATTTTTATGTGTTCGTTCATTCATTGGCTCCTATTTCATGCTCACTTGCCCCAGCCCGCCGTGAGCACAGGGGCCCCAGCGAACCTCCAGCAAGATCCAAACTGATCTGCCAGTGCTCTCCCTGGGGTCTCCAAAGATTTTCATCCTGCCTCCCACAGACCCTCTGGGTTCCCTCCTACCCGATTAGTCCCCAGGGAGGACAGGCTGTAGGGTACCTGGCTCCCTGGCCTGCCGCATGCGTGCCTCACAGACAGCAGAGCAGAAGCTGTGTTGCTCACACCTCTGCCAGCCAGGGCCCTGCTTCTCTCTTGTATCACGTGATCCCCTGCTCCATCCACCCAATGCTCTCACCAGACCGCTGCCCTGAACTCCGCTCCTCCTGGCACTGTACCAGCATAACCACCTTCTAGAAGCCCTCCAAGATGTGCTCTGGTGCCTTGTGCATAGAACCCCAACCTGACGCCCCCCAACCCAGTGCTTCTCATGACTCACGATTGGCCATCATTCCCTCTTGTTCCTTTGGGGGGGGAGGGGTAATGCTCTGAACTCAGAAACCACTCTTAGAAGTGCTCAGGGGACCAGATGGTTATGCTGGGTATCAAATCTAGGTTGGCTGCATGCAAGACAAATGCCGTACCTGCTGTGCTATTTCTTGGGGAGGACTGAGACCCCCCTCCAGGAAGGCAGCAGCTCCACGTTCCAGACACATCTAGGGTGTCAGGATGCTGAGGCCCAGGAGGGATAGCAGGACTCACCTGGCGGGTGGCAGGCACGGAAAGGTTGAGTCCATCCACGGAGATGCTGACGGCGATGCTCATGCCGGCGAAACGCAAGTTGCTCTTGCCCAGAATGGAGGCCAGGGCCTTGTTGGGGGCCTGGAGGTGGAGCAGAGGGCAGCGGGGTGGGACCTGCAGGGCCTGGAGTCTGGGGAAGGGAGGGGGCTAGAGAGGGGCTTCCGCCCAAGCAGGGTGCAAGGATACCCTGGCATCCTCCCTCTGCCACCAGCCCTCCCCTGCCAGCCCCAAGTGGAGGAGGGGAACACCTCTCGCCCACCTTCTTCTTCCAGGAGCCCCGCACACCGGGCACGGCCTCATGGAGCCGGTTGATTGCTTCCCTGCAGGGGGAGGGGCTTACGTTAGAGGGGTGGGGGGTAGTGGGCGTGGTTAGTCTGGACGGGGAGGTGGTGGGCGTGGTTAGACAGAACAGGGGGCGGGAGGGAGTGGGCGTGGCTAGGCTAAACACAGGTTGTAGGCGTGGTTAGTCTAAATAGGGGGCGGTGCTGGGTAGTGGGTGGGGCTTCTTGGCAGGTGGTTGGGTACCAGGAGGGAGGAGGGAAGGGTACCAGGAGGGAGGCTTGGATGGGTGCTCCCGGGGTAAGCAGCCCCTCGAGTCTGTTTGCATTTGGCACATACACCCACTCTCTCTGTCTTTTCCATAGCCCAGCGGAAACGGCAGAGCGTCAGAGAACCTTCCATGGGAAACCACACGCTGGCACGCACACTCCACACAGCTAGGTCCATCAGCACACACGTGGTTCCTGGTACAATCTCAGGAAGAGCATCTTCTTCTCAGTCTGAGCAAGACTGGATCGAGCTCCCGCCGTCGGACCCCCTCCCCCGAACACGCAATCACGGGGCACGCTCACCTGGTGACCTGGGTGCGGGTGTTGAAATCCAGGGAGCGCATAGAACGGAGCACCTCGATGCAGCCCATGTACTGGGGACCAGAGAAGGCGGGTCAGGGGAGTTGGTCCGATGGACGAGAGGATCGAGTCCGTCCTGCGCCCACTATTTCAGCCCTGTCCTCTGACCTGGCAAAGCCCACCCATACCCATCTCTTTCTGAGGCTGGTGCCTGCAGGCTAACTTTGGCTATGGTGGGCGTGGTTAGACTGAACAGAGGGCGGGAGGTTGCAGGAAGTGGGGATCAGGGCGGGAGGGACGTCTGCGCCTGTTCTGGCAGGACTGGCAGGGAGCCTTAGGTCCCCAGAGGCCTCCAACTCTCGGTTCCTTTGCTACAAAGAATGTCCACTGATCCCTGGTGGACTGAGAGCATCTGAGAAGCGGTGCTGAAGAGCTCAGAGCAGTGAGGTGTGGCCTATGAAGTTCCCGCCAGCTTGAGCTCCAGAGACCGAGATGAGGAAGAGGCTGAAGGTCTCACAGAATCTGTAAGTGATTCCACAAATAGAAATATGTGGAACAGGGGCTGGAGCGATAGCACAGCGGGTAGGGCGTTTGCCTTGCACGCGGCCAACCCAGGTTCGATTCCCAGCATCCCATATGGTCCCCTGAGTACTGCCAGGAGTAATTCTTGAGTGCAGAGTCAGGAGTAACCCCTGTGCATCGACGGGTGTGACCCAAAAAGCAAAAGAAAGAAAGAAAGAAAGAAAGAAAGAAAGAAGGAAAGAAAGAAAGAAAGAAAGAAATGGAAAGACGCGGAACAGGTGCTGGAGCAATAGTCCAGCGGGGAGGGCGCTTGCCTTGAACGCTGTAGACGTTGAGTTGGATCCTGATCCACGCGGCCAACCCGGGTTCGATTCCCAGCATCCCATATGGTCCCCCGAGCACCGCCAGGAGTGATTCCTGAGTGCAGAGCCAGGAGTAATCCCTGTGCAATGCCCGGGTGTGACCCAAAAAAGCAAAAAAAAACCAAAAAAACAAAAAAAAACTAAACCAAAATGCAAATCAAGCATGTCCCCAAGGACAGTGAATCCGGGGTTAGGTAACCTACCCTGGGACGCAGACCCTGAGAACTGCAGGTCCGTTGTGGGAGGGAGAGGGTAGACTTCTGGATCAACACGCCCATTAGTAGGAGAATACTCTAGTTTTGGGCCCGCCCACTGGGGGCGGAACACCCAGGCTGGACACGCCCACGGCTGGGCAACATGGAACAGGAACTTGCACGGGAGGCAGACAGATTGGGCACGCCCATTTACGGAGGACACGCCCACCATGGGCCCGCCCACTGGAGGAAAAGACACCTGTATGGACACGCCCACAGTGGGCGGGGACACCCAGTATTTCCACTTGGGGAAAAAGCACAGGCACAGAATGGAAGTAAGATTGTGGATGCCAGAGGTTGGGGCGGAAGTTTGGGGTGACTGCTCTGATGACAGGTTTCCTTTGGGGATGAAAGATTTTTGGCTTTTTTTGGCTTTTTTGGGGGGTCACATCCGGCAATGCACAGGAGTTACTCCTGGTTCGTACACTCAGGAAACACTCCTGGTGGTGCTCGGGGGACCATATGGGATGCTGGGAATCGAACCTGGGTTGGCCGTGTGCAAGGCAAACGCCCTACCTGCTGTGCTATTGCTCCAGCCCCTGGGGATGAAAGATTTTTGGATACAAAACTCTGTTAATGTATTCTTATTATTTTCTTTTTTATTCTTCAGTTTCACTTTACCCGGTGCTCAGGGCTTACTCCTGGCTCTGTGCTCAAGAATCACTCCTGAAGGGGCTTGGGGGACACTACGGGGTGGCCAGGGTTGAACCCGGGGTTGGCCGTATGCAAGGCAAGTGCCCTGCCTGCTGCTGTACTATCTCTCTTGCCCTTGTTAATGTACTGTTAAGTGGTAGATTGTATTTTTCAAATGGGTACATTTTATGGTAGATAATTAAGACCTAATTTAAATATATTCTTGCATTGGGGCTGGAGTGATATAGTCTAGCTGGTAGGGCATCTGCCTTGCACATGGCTGACCCAGGTTCAATCCCCAACATCCCATATGGTCCCCCAAGCAACGCCAGGAGTGATTCCTGAGCGCAGAGTCAGGAGTAACTCCTGAGTATCGCTGGGTGTGACCCAAAAAGAAAAAAAATCTTGCACAAGGAAATCTGTAGTTTCTCTTGAAACTGCATATTGGTGCCAAAAGACACAGATGGCCAAAGCACATGCTCTGCCCCTAAACCACATCCCTGCACCTGAGTTTTTTCTGGCAGTTCTGAGCTCCTGCCTCACCATCTCCCTGTGTGCCCGTTAGATTCAGTGCCACTGGGCACCAGCATGATCGCATCATAACCTGATTACATGCCAAGACCCTGTTTCCAGATGTTGACTTGGATCCCTAAGTCACAGTGGAGGCTAAGTGACCCTCAGGACCCAGTCTGCCAAGGACACCAGAGAATCCAAGTGGCCATCAGTGCCCAGCACCAGGACCTCCCAGTCCACATGACAGGGAGAGAAGGGCATGACTGCTTCTTGCCCCAAATGCGAACTGGACCCACACACACACCTGAACCCACACATATACCTGCATCCCCACAAACCTGAATCCCACACACCCTTGGACCCCAGACACCTGAACTCACACATACCTAAACCCCTACATGTACCAAATCCAAAAATCTGAAACCACAGACTTGAACCCACACATATCCAAACCCCATACATATCTGAACCCACACGTACAGCTGAAAGCCCACAGACACACTCCTGAACTTTGCACACACACCTGAACCCAAAGACACAAGTGAAACCCAACAACAGTCTCCATCCACAACTGGATTCCAGAACATACACCTGTATCCCAAAACACAAAACCTGAACACCAGAATGCACACCTGAAAATTTGACACAGGAAATTTGACACAGGTGCATCCAACACAGACCTGAATAGACACACCCGAACCCACACATACCACCACACATACCACTACACATACACACGTGCGCGCGCACACACACACACACCTCACACACCTTTGCTGAACTTGAAAACACACACACCTGCATACAAATCAGTAGGCACGACCAAAGCCCAGGTGTCCAGGTATGTACAGTCCAAACCTAATTACCTGGGTCCATACACTGCTGGGGTAAACAATATAATAATGATGATAATAGCAACTATATGGCGGTACTTCAGCCACATTTTGTTTTGCTTTTTGTTTTATTATATTTGTTTCATTATTTTTGTTTTAGGGTCACAGCCGACTATGCTCAGGGCTTACTCCTGGCTCTGCACGCAGGGATCGCTCCTGGCGGGCATCAGGGGACCGTCTGGCATGGGGAGGTTAGAACCCATATGGGCCAGGGTGCAAGGCAAGCGCCCTCCCAGCTGTCCCATCGCTCCGGCCCTGCAGCCACGTTTTCCTGCCCCAAGAGGAGAAAGGGTGGGCAGGTTGGGGTATTGGTACGCGGGAAGGGCTCTCGCCAGATACCCCGTCCCCCGCCTCTCAAACTTTTACTAGCTCGTCTTGCAAAGAGGCTCCTGACCGGGTGCCTGGAGGTGTCTCGGCTTCCCCAGCCCCAGAGGAATTGGGGGTTGGGGGGAGGAGTGGTGGGGTGACGCTTCATCTGCGCGTGCGCGCCCTCCGCCCACCTGTGGCCCTCTCTCCGCCCCTCCCCACGTGACGCCGTGGGAACCCCGACCCCGACACCTTCCCGGTGGGGCCCGGGTGGCGGGACGATCGGGGAAGATGAAGAGGAGACGTCTGGCTCTCGGTGGGGAGCCCGGGGTGCGCACGAGAAGGAAGGGGGAGGTGCCCAGGCTGGGCGGCCGGGGGGGATGCGATCCACCGGGGGTCCCGGCCGGCGCACTCACCCGCACGATGTAGGAGACCCCCGGCGCCAGGACCCGGGCGTCGGGGTGCAGCCAGCCGTGCGCGGGCTTGTGGATGAAGCTGCCTTTGCGGATCCACTCGTCGGCGGCGGCGTCCGGGGCCGCCCCCCGCGCCCCCCGCGGCCCCCGGGTTCCCGCGGCGCGGCAGCGGCTGAGCGCCGGCAGGGGGCAGGGCGCGGCGGCGCAGCGGGGCTCGCAGGCGCCCAGCACCGCGGCGGCCAGCGCGGGGACGCTGGCGGGGCCGGGCGGCTCGGGCTGGGGGTCCGCGCCCCCCGCGCCGCCCGCGCCCCCCGCCGCCCGCGCCCCGGGACCGCGCCCCAGGAAGCCGGCCGGGGCGGCGAATTTCCACTGCGGCATGCGGGGCAGCAGCGCGCAGAACGTGGTGGGCGCCTCGGGCTCCGGGGGCGCGGGGGGCGCGGGGGGCGCGCGCCCGCCCGGACCCTGCGTCATGACCGCGGCCGCCGGACCCCAGCCCCGACCGGGCGCTGCGCCTGGCGCCGAGGAGGCCCGTCCGCTCCCGCCCGCTCCGGCCCGCGCTCCCTCCCCGCCCCCCGGCTCGGTGATGTCATCCGCCTGGCCCAGCGCGCAGCCGCGGGGGGCTGCGCCCCTGGGACCCCAGCCCTCGGCGACGCGGCGCCGGGCGCGGAGCCTGGGGAAAACTGAGGCCCGCCGAGCGTCCACGTCCGACTCGGACCCAGCGGCCCCCTCCCCACGCGTCACGCCCGCTCCCACCCCCCAACCCCGCCGCCGGAGCGTTTAGCACTTGTAAATCAGGCCCCCCCACGTCTCTTTGTGATCGATGGGGAAACTGAGGCCAGCAGAGGGGCGGAGGCGCGGGCAAGGGGAGGAGAGAGGCTCCGGGCCTAAAGGTAGCCCCCTCCCCCGACCCCTTCCCACCGATCCTGTCGGAAGAGACGGGAAACGCTCGGGATTGATTTCGCCCCGGGGAGACTGAGGCTAGCAGAGGGCAGAAGCGTGCGAGGGAGAGCCGGTCCAGGACCGTCGGGCGGTCGGGCGGTCGGGCAGGCTCGGCTGCCTCGGTTTCCCAGGCTGCACGAGCCGAGCGCGGGCTGCGCCCCCTTTCCTGGGAAACCTTGCTGGGCATCAGGCCCTCCCCACTCTGAACTCAGGGCCGATCTGTTTGGGGGGGATTCCTTCTGCCCCAGAGGTCACCCCCAGAGACAGGGCCTTTGCCCTCCCCGCGGCCCCGCCCTAGGCGATTGACAGCCGGAAAACAAAGGGAGGGGCGGGTTTGGGCTGGTGGGGCGCCCGGGGCCGGATCGATAAATCAGAGGATGAGCTCAGGGCTCCGGGGCTGGCGGCCCGGGGCGGGGGCGGAAACTCAGGCGCGCGCGGCCGCGATTGGCTGGCGCGAGGGGCGTGGCCTGCGGGCCTGGGCGTGGCTTTCGCCCGGGGTCCTTGTTGTACTGCCGCCGAGTTCCAGTGCTTGGGGGTCTGCCTAGTTGGGCTTAGGCGCTGGGTGTTCAAGTTTGACATTTCCTGGGGCCGGGGAGATAGTCCAGCGGGTAGGTCGGGGCGGTTGCCTTTGTTTCTGGGTTTTTTTTGGAGGGGGGCCACACCCAGCGATGCTCAGGCATTACTCCTGGCTCTACACTCAGGAATCATTCCTGGGGTGCTGGGTGGGGGGACCGTATGGGATGCCAGAGATGGAACTGTGTCGGCTGTGTGCAGGGAAAATACCCTCCCGCTGTTCTATGACTCCGGCCCCCCAATCTGGGTTGTATCCCCCACGTCCCATAGGGTATCCCCCTGCCCAACATCACCAGGTTGGGCAGATACCTGAGCAGAGAGCCAGAAGGAACTGCTGAACATCGCAAGTGTGGGCCGCCCCCCACAAAAGAAATCTTATCTAAATTTGATATTTCCAAGTTGGGGTCAAGGGTTATGAAAGCGCTTACGACTCCACCCCCCCCAGGACCCCTGGATCCATCTCCTTGAGGACAAAGAGTCACATGCGCAAACCCCTGCCACCACCACCACACACACACACACACACACACACACACACACACGTTTAATTATCACACAGAGCGCACCATCACGTGACACCACCTCGTGTTTCCTTCCTGTCCTTGAAAAACAAGAGAAGCAACCCCCCTCCCCATGCGTCCCCATTCCCCACACACCCCAGCTCAGAGGCTGGGATTAAATGGCTGTATCAGACCTAGGGAGCAGGTACTTTTTAAATTTCCCCTGGGACCTGAGTTGGGTCTCTAAAGGTCCATTTCCTCTCAGCAAATATCTGCCTCCTGAGTTGTTGGAAAGCTTGGATGTTGTTTTTTTTTTTTTTGCTTTTTGGGTCACACCCGGCTATGCTCAGGGGTTACTCCTGGCTCATGCACTCAGGAATTGCTCCTGGCGGTGCTCAGGGGACCATATAGGATGCTGGGAATCGAACCTGGGTGGGCCATGTTGGCTGCGTGCAAGGCAAACGCCCTCCCCGCTGTGCTATCTCTCCAGCCCCCTATATTCTTTTTTTTTTTTTTTTGCTTTTTGGGTCACCCCTGGCATTGCACAGGGATTACTCCTGGCTCTGCACTCAGGAATTACCCCTGGTGATGCTCAGGGGACCCAATGGGATGCTGGGACTCGAACCCGAGTCGGCCGCGTGCAAGGCAAATGCCCTACCCGCTGTGCTATTGCTCCAGCCCCTCAAAACCCAGTTTTAATGGCCCCTCTTCCAGGAAGTCTGCCCAGCAGATCCCACTCACAGCCCTGACACTTTACCTGGGGTCTCCAGGACCCCCACTTCACCTCCAGATCCGCTTTAAACCCCCAGGGCTACAGAGTTGGAGGGGGGGCTGGCCGTGTTTCCTGTGAAGGGAAGGGGTTAAATGAAATTAGCAAGGTTTAAAGCCACCAAGGTTTATTGGCCAGTGGCAGGGGAGAGAGGGGCAGAGAGGTGTTCTGGGGAGCCTGGGGGGACCGTTTGGCTGAAATCACACCAGGCATCTGAGCATCCCGAGAAGCAGGGAGTAGCCCAAGTTTGGCAGAGAGCCCCCGTGCTGTGTTGGGGACCCAAGCCCTGACCAGCGGTTGGACACTGAGTTCTGGGTCACAGGAAATGCCATCTGCAGCCGGCCGCTGGGGAGGGCCAGGGTGTCCCTTTCTCAGTCTGGCACGGCTTGGCCGGGCGTCACTGGCCTTAAGGAACTGGGACGCTGGACGGAGGCTCGCCTTGCCCAAGGCAGAGAGGTCACTGCCCCCGGGGACAGAGAGCGTCCTGACCTAGAAGCAGCTCAGAGAATTCAGGAAACGTGTTGTGGGGGGTGGGGGGGTACCAGCTCTGCGCCCCCCAGTCAGACCAGGCCCACCAGAGCTTGGCACCTCACTTCCCGGGGTCGCAAGGTGGAGAGTCGGCCCACGCTGCAGGCATCGGTGCCCATGGTGGAGGCGCGTTTGGAGTGGCGGATGCCCATGGTGAACGCAGGGGCCCGGGCTTTGGTGACTGTCACGTGCTCGGGGCTGTGGGTCCCCGGCCCCGGGGTCTCCATCAGGGGCCGCAGGGCCCGGGCGCGCCCTGGCATGGTGAAGGCGGGCAGGCGCTGGCGGTAGGCGTCGGGGTTCGGGCTCTCGTACTGGCCGGGCCCCGGGATCTCGGCGGGGTCCTGCGCGGGGCGCAGCGGGGGCGGCCGGCCGGCCACGGTATAGGAGGGGCTTCTGGGCTTGATGAAGATGTGTGCGCCCCAAAGGGAGGGCAGCGTGTAGGTGTTGGGGGCGGGCGCCGAGGTGTCCAGCGGCTGAGGGCGCAGGCGGGAGCCCAGGGTGAAGGCTGGGGGTGTCCTCTGGCGCACGGGGGCCACCTTCTCTGGACTGTAGGCTCCAGGACCTGGTGTCACCTCCAGACCTGTGACAAGGGGCCAGAGCGGGGGACAATACACAAGTCCTCACTTAGCCAGAAATATGGGGGGGTTGGGGCTGGAGCAATAGCACAGCGGGGAGGGCGTTTGCCTTGCACGGGGCCAACCCGGGTTCGATTCCCAGCATCCCATATGGTCCCCTGAGCACCACCAGGGGTAATTCCTGAGTGCAGAGCCAGGAGTAGCCACTGTGCATCGCCGGGTGTGACCCAAAAAAGCAAAAAAAAAAAAAAAAAAGAAATTTGGGGGGGTTGTTTGGTTTTGGTTTGGAGACACACCCAGTGGTGTTCAGGGACTACTTCTGGCTCTGCGCTCAGAAATAACTCCTTTTGGGGCTGGAGCGATAGCACAGAGGGTAGGGCGTTTGCGTTGCACGCGGCCAACCCGAGTTCAATTCCCAGCATCCCATAAGGTTCCTGGAGCACCGCCAGGAGTAATTCCTGTGTGCGTGAGCCAGGAGTAACCCCGCTGTGCATCGCCGCGTGTGGTCCAAAAAGAAAAAAGAAGAAAGAAAGAAAGAAATTACTCCTTGCGTTGCTTATGGATCCTATAGGATGCAGGGGATCAAACCTGGGTGAACCACATGTAAAGAACTCACACCCTTCCCAGAATCCCCTGGGACCAGTCTTTATCTCCTCAGTCACACAGACAGAGGTAGGGGTGTGGGGGTGGGGGTCCCTCTGCCTTGGGCTCCCATGAGCCCCCATCCAAGGATGGGTGGAATTGCCTGACTTCAAGCCCCAATGCTGGTTGGATATTGGTTTGGGAAGCTGAAAGTGGAAGGTGGGTGAGGAGGGGGCGGTGGCCTGAGTCACCAGTGGCGGCTGTGTTGAGGATGGTCCTTGGGGACTTAGAAGGACAAGTGGACAGATGTTTGGGTGGATTCATGGATTCACAGGTGGGCATATTGGTGGAAGGATGAAACAATGAATGGATGGGTGATGGGAAGATAGTTGGGGGTTGGGCAGAGGATGGAAGGGTGGGTAGGAGGATAGAGGGATATTTCATAGATTGATGAGTGGGTGGTAGATTCGGGGCTGGGTGGGTAGTGGATAGGCGGATAGTTGGATGGATAGGTGGGTGGTAGGTGGGTGGATGGGTGGATCATGGGTGGGTGAATGGATGGGTGAATGGATGGGGGGGTGGATAGGTAGATGGGTGGTTTGTGGATGGATGGATGAGTGGGTGGTAGGTGGTGGATGGGTGGATGGTGGGTGGATGGGTGTGTGGATACGTGAGTAAGTGGATGGATGGATGGTTGGATGGTGGGTGGATGGGGTGGATGGATGGATGGGTGGATAGCAGATGAATCAATGTGTAGATGGTTGAGTGGGTCATGGATGGACAGAGGGTAGATGGATAATGAATGAGTTCATGGACACATGAGTGGGTCTATTGGTGGAAGAATGAACCAATGAATGATATGAAGGATAAGTAGGTAAGTAGGTTGGTAAGGGGACTCATGTCTGGGTGTGTGAGTGAATGGAATGTTATGGATGAATAGATGGATGATGGATAGGGTGATTCCCAATGGATCATGGGTAAATGGGTAGGTGGATGGAGAGATGAGTGGCTAGAATGACTGGACGGATGGAATCAGAATGGATGAACTATGGGTGCGATTGGGAAAGGGCTCATGTGTGGATGCTCTGGATGGAGGTGGACATATGGTGAAGTGAGTGACGTGGAGATGAAACAGTGGCCTGGATGGCCAACCGTTGGATTGGTGGAGAGGCAGATGGACCTATGGATGGATCAGTGCATTGATCTATCATAGGTTCCTGCCGAGGGACCAATAGAGAAGTGATAGGTCAGAAAAGGAAATGGAGTGCAGATGAATGTTATGTCTCCTCAGGAGCTGGGGGTTCAAGGGGGCTGAGCAGGACCTAGAAAGAAGAGAGATGAGGGAAAGAGATGAGGGAGAGATGGAGAGACGGATGAAGGGAGGGATGAAGGGGAGGAGTGATCACCTTCTCCCAGGTATCCACTGCCCAGGGTTCTGTGAAGGTCCAGCTCGAGGCCATGTGTGGGCTCATGCCTCCTCCCCTGCCCCCCGCCCCTCACTCTCCCCAGTTCTCCTGGGCTTTTGTCTTTGCTTTGGGGCCACACCTGGTGGTTCTCGGGGCCGACTCCTGGCTCTGCACTCAGGGCTCACTCCTGACGGGGCTTGGGGAGCCGGGGACCGAACCCAGTGCCCTCCCCAACTGTCCTGTGGCTCCAGCCCCCTCTTTTGGGTTTCCATAGGCACTCACAAGGCTATTCCACCCACCATTCCTCACACACACACCGAGCTCAGAGTATTTGTGGGGAGAGCCTCTGAACCCCAAAAGGGCAGCAATCCAGTACTCACCCCGGGATTTACCCCTGCCTTGTATGGAGTAGGCAGGGGGACAGATGCGGCCAAAACGGGTGACATTCGGGTCCAGGAAGTAGATGGGACCAGGGCTGGTGTCCTCAGCAACTGGGGAGAAATGCCTCTGGGTGAGCCCCAAGACACTCCCCTCCTCCAGGCAGCCCACCTTGCAGTGAGGACCCCAGACACTGAGCTGTGAACGTCCTTCGCTGCAGACTCTCGGGTCATCCAGGACCTTGTCCTTTGTGTGTGGTTTGGGGGTCCCACCCAGCAGTGCTCAGGCCTTACTCCTGGCTTTGCACTCAGCAATCACTCCTGTTGGGGATTGGGGAAACCTATGGGATGCCAGGGATCGAACCCAGGCCGGCTGCCTACCATGCCAAAGACTTATCCTCACTATATTATTTCTCTGACCCTCGGTTAAATTTGTTTTTATTTTTTTTTGGAAGGGGCCACACCTGGCAATGCTCAGGGCTTACTCCTGGCTCTGCACTCAGAAATTACTCCTGGTGATGCTCAGGGGAAATTATGGGATACTGGGGATACTGAGTCAGCTATGTACAAGGCAAACGCCCTACCCACTGTACTATCACTCCAGCCCCTTCGATTCATATTTTATTTGATCAATAATTGGTTGATTCATCGGCTCTATCAGGGGAGGAAACTGAGGCACAGGGCAGGACATCAGCTTGCCCAAAGTCAGGCAGCAGGGAATTTACAGATGGTGGTACAAGGGCCTATCCACTTCTTCCGGCCTCCAGCATGAGGAAATAGGATCAGAGAGGGACAGCATCTCTCCCGAGGTCACACAGCAACCCTTCCTCGCTTCCGCCTCTCCTCTTTTTACTGGGGACCTGGGGATGGTGGGGGGAGGGGGAAGGGGGGAGTCTCAGGGCACCTTCTCAGCCCTTTGGCCTACCCAAGAGCCTTACCAGAGCTGGAGTCCCGAAGAAGCGAGCCGGCCCCCGCGGCGCCCTTGGTGGAGTCCTGCTTGGCCGCGTCTGTCGTGGGTGGAGGGACTTGCGGGCTGGACTTGGATCCTGAGAGTAGAAAGCCCCACGGTCAGGTCTGGGTTGAGGCCCCCGGCCTGCCCCGCGCCTGGTCTGGGGCTCCCAGCGCCCCACTGTGGACAGGGGCCGGGGTGGGGGGGGCGCCCCCAGGGCGCCGGAGGGGCGGGGCATTGTGTGGCAACGCCAATCACAGAGGGGAGGGGCTGCGGGCCGCACACGTGGGGAAACTGAGGCCTAGACACAGGTGCGGGTGGGGAAAATGAGTCCGGACACATTTTCGCCGTCCCTGGGGAGAAACTGAGGCAGAACACGTTATGCAGTAGAGGATAGAGTTATGCAGTAGAGGTGGCAGAGATGCAGTTCCCGACCGTCTTTTTTTTTTCTTCCTGGGTTTCTTTTGGCGGGGGAGACCAGCCGGGGCAGTACCCTCAGGGGTTACTCCTGACGGTGGTGCTCGGGGGACGCTATAGGGCGCCGGAGGAGATCGGACCTGGGTCTGGCACGTGCAAGGCCAACGCCCTCCCCGATGACCGCTGGACTGTTGCTCCAGCCCCGCCCTGTCTCTGAGCTCAGGCTCGAACCCGCGACAGCCAAGTCTATTTGATCAAACAGGGAAACTGAGGCTCAACGAAGCTGCCCCACGCTGACCCGAGACTCGCAGCTGAGTCCTCCCGGTTCTTCAGCCCCGACCTGGGGCTGTCAGGTTTTCTGTCTCATTTCTGTCTCCTTCCTTCTCATCCAAGAACATTTCTGTCCCCCTCAGCCTGGTCCTATCCCTTATTCCTGGCATCCTCCAAAAGCACACGAAAGACTGAGATTTGTGGGTTGGAGCCATAGCACAGCGGGTAGAGCGTTTGCCTTTCACGCAGCCGACCCGGGTTCGATTCCCAGCATCCCATATGGTCCTCCAAGCACCTCCAGAGCCAGGAGTAACCCCAGTGCATTGCCAGGTGTGATCCAAAAAGCCAAAAAAAAAAAAAAAAAAAGACTGAGATTTGTTGAGGCTGGAGCAATAGTACAGCAAGGAGGGCGTTTGCCCGAACTTTGCAGACCCGGGTTTGACCCTGGGCATCCCATAAGGTTCCCCCCCCCCCGACCCCCAGTACAGTCAGGAGTCATTCCTGAGTCATTCTTTTTTTTTTTTCTTTTTGGGTCACACCCGGCGATGCACAGGGGTTACTCCCGACTCTGCGCTCAGGAATTACCCTTGGCGGTGCTCAGGAGACCATATGGGATGCTGGGAATCGAACCCAGGTTGGCTGCGTGCAAGGCAAACGCCCTACCCGTTGTGCTATTGCTTCAGCCCCAACCTGAGTCGTTCTTGAGTGCAGAGCTAGGAGGCAACCCAGAGCATCACCGGGGGTGTCCCAAAAACAACAAAAATAAACTGAAATATAAAGGGGCAGGTGGGAGACCCCTGGAACATTCCAGAACACCACCCACCACCACCCTCACCACATACCGCTCTCCGAGGTGGCCTCCCCGCCAGACTTCCTCAGGCCGGTTTCAGGAATGTGGCACTCAGTGGGCCGCCGACCCAGGGTCCCCGCGGGGGGCCGCGGGGCTGACTCACACCCTGGGGTGCCCATGGTGAGGCCCAGCCGTGCCCGGACTCTCAGCCCGGCCCGCGGGCAGGCAGCTCCCTGGCCTCACTGCGCCCGCTCCCGGGCTGGCCACACACTGGCCCCTTGTCCCCAGCAGCGGGAACCGGGCTCTGGCCCAGGGGTTGCGTGGCCGGCGGGTGCAGGATCGGGTGTCCTGCAGCTGGGCTGGGCCAGGGAGGAGTCCGGTGTCGGTGGCGGCACTGCGTGTCCCCCGGGAGCCGGCCCAGCCAGGCCGCCAGCTCCACATCCACAACCTGGCCCGAGGTGGCCCCATTCTGTAGCTGGGGAAACTGAGGTACAGCCCCATGTCATGCAGCCCAATTTGCTGCTAGAAGCTGCAGCTCAGGGTCAAGGATGGCTGCCTGGGGACTCGAGCAATAGGACAGCAAGGGAGGGTGTTTGCCTTGCACGTGGCCACACTGGGTTTGGTCCCCGACGTCCCATAGGGTCCCTGGAGCGGTGCCAGGAGTAATTTCGAAGCACAGAGCCAGGAGTAAGCCCTGAGCATCCTCAGGTGTGACCCAGAGAGGGGAAAGGATGACTTCCTGGATCCTGTTCTCCCTCCCGCCACCCCACACCCTCACCCCTCCCTTCCTCCCTCCAGCCTCCTCTCTGCTCTGCTCCGCTCTCAGTCCCCCTCCTCCAGATCACTCCTGTCCCCACACACATGTCCTTGAAGCCAATGAGGCGATGCCCGCCTCTCCCCCACACTGGTTCTCACCCTGGCCACCACCTGGGGTGTCTCTCCCTCAACCCCCAACTGGCTCCCCAAGTCTGCCCTGACGTCCCCTGTCCTATCAGACCAAGGAAGCCCAAACTTCAGAGCTGGGACAGAGTAGGGGAGATCCCCCCCTCCCCGCCACTGCACATCATCACCCCGTGGGACAGAGAAGCCACAAGGACTCTGGGTCAGGCCACCCCAGCACCGCGCCAGAGTTCTGAGGATCAGGAGGCGCTCAGGGCCTCGGTCTCCCCATAGTGAAAGGTGGTCCTCCCCTCCCCCCTCTCCCCTCTCTTTCTCTCTCTGTTTCTTCGGCTCTCTCTCTTCCTCACTCCAAAAACAAAAGCACACAGAAAGGGAGAAGAGGGGCCAGTGCGATAGTACAGCGCATAGAGCATTTGCCTTGCACGCGGCCAATGCGGGTTCGATCCCCAACAAATCATATGGTCCCCTGAGCCCTGCCAGGAGTGATTTCTGAGTACAGAGCCAGGAGTAACCCCTGAGTGTCGCCACTTGTGATCCAGAAAGCCAAAAGAAAAGAAAAAGAAAGGGAACGGAGGGGGCTGGAGTGATAGCTCAGTGGGTGGGGCGTTTGCCTTGCAAGTGGACTGACCCGGGTTCGATTCCCAGCATCCCATGTGGTCCCCCCGAGCCTGGCCAGGAGTAATGCCTGAGTGCATGAGCCAGGAGTAACCCCTGTGCATCGCTGGGTGTGACCCAAAAAGCAAACAAACAAATAAATAAATAAAATATTTAAAAAAAAAAAAAAGAAAGGGAACGGAGAGGCCACTCTAGGGCTGGAGCATAGCTCAGAGCATGAAGAGCTGGGGCTCTCCACACCCCCCTTCCCCCGCCCGCTCCAACCTACCCCCAGAAGCAACAAGGTTCTGCCCCTAACACGCTCTAGCTCCACCCAAGCTCCACTCAAGCGCCACTCAGGCCCCGCCCCCAACCACTCTGACCCATTTAGGCTCCACCCCTCCCACTCTGGCTCCACCCAAACTCCACTCAGGCCCCGCCCCCAACCCCCTCTGACTCAATTTAGGCTCCACCCAAGCTCCACTCAGGCTCCGCCCCCAACCACTCTGACCCATTTAGGCTTCACCCCTCCCACTCTGGCTCCACCCAAACTCTACTCAGGCCCCGCCCCCAACCCCTCTGACTCAATTTAGGCTCCACCCAAACTCCATTCAGGCCCTGCCCCCAACCCCTCTGACTCAATTTAGGCTCCACCCAAGCTCCACTCAGGCCCCGCCCCCAACCACTCTGACCCATTTAGGCTCCACCCCTCCCACTCTGGCTCCACCCAAACTCCATTCAGGCCCCGCCCCCAACCACTCTGACCCATTTAGGCTTCACCCCTCCCACTCTGGCTCCACCCAAGCTCCACCTAGGCCCCGCCCCAACCCACTTTAGCTCCACTCAGGCCTGCCCCACCCACCCTAACCACCCAAACTCCACTCAGGCCCCGCCCCCAACCACTCTGACTCTATTTAGGCTCCACCCCCCACTCTGGCTCCACCCAAACTCCATGCAGGCCCCGCCCCCAACCACTCTGACCCATTTAGGCTTCACCCCTCCCACTCTGGCTCCACCCAAGCTCCACCTAGGCCCCGCCCCAACCCACTCTAGCTCCACTCAGGCCTGCCCCACCCACTCTAACCACCCAAACTCCACTCAGGCCCCGCCCCCAAACACTCTGACTCCACTTAGGCCCCACCCCTCCCACTCTGGCTCCACCCATGCTCCACTTAGTTCCCGCCCTGGCCCATCCAGGCCCCGCCCTAAGCTACTTTGGCTCCACCCATGCTCCATCAGGCCCTGCCTCCAACCACCCTGACACCACTTAGGCTCCGCCCCTCCCTCTGTGGCTCCACCCATGTTCCTCCGCCCCTTCCCAGGCCCCGCCCTTCCCTCCACCCACGTCTCTCCCAGGCTCCACCCCTACCAAGCTCCACCCAGGCTCTGTTCAGGCTCCGCTTCTGGCTCCACCCCTTCTCCCCATGCCCCACCCTGGCTCCACCCATACCCCACCTGGCCCGGTCCTTGCTCTGTGTTCACCTGGGCTTCGTGGGCGTGCGCACACGCACACACACACACGCACACGCACACGCACACGCACACGCACAAACTGTCCTGAGCACAGTCAGGAGTAGCCCCAACATGGCCAGTAGGACCTCGAAACTAGAAAGAACAGCAGAAAGGGCCAAGGCTCAGGACCCCACTTCGGGACCTAGCAGTAGGGACAACCCCGGGTTGGGGAGAATCCCAACACAGCCTGTGGCCGGACTTCACACACCAAAGACCAAGAATCTGCATGGACGGACCTTCAACTTCCCATAATTCCCCGTAACTCCCTGCTCACATTCTGGGCTAGCAGCTGAGTTTGGGAGAGGGTCGCCAGTCCCCGAGTATGGGTTGTGATCCCCCTAAGCGCTCCGTACCCCCCTACTGCGGAGCCCGCCGAGCTCCCCTCCCTCAGAGCCCACTCTGGTTCAGGAGCTCCCTCTGGCGGCCGGATCGGGAAGTGGCCGCTGGTCCCGGAGGGTGGGATATGGCAGGGACTGCGGTATAGTGAGGAAGATTCTGTAAAGTTTGGGAGCCTTGAAGGAAAAGGATGGCAGCCCCGCCCAGAGAAGGGTCAGAGAAGCAGGGAGCGATTGGGTCGGGGTCTATTTAAGCTCTGTTTTTTTCTTGGGGGAAAGGAACATCTCAGGGTTTTTTCCT